AGATCTTCTTCAGTCCTACACCTTGTAACAGTACCTTTTAAATTTATAGCCCTGGCCATGACCTTTCCTTTGAGGTCTAGACTCCTAACAGTCACCTCTCTACTCAACATCTCTACTTCAGTATATATTGGGAATCTCAAATTTAAAAGCTAATTCTTGGTTTTCCATCTTCCCTGCCAAATCTGCTCCCCTTTCAGTCTTCTGCATCTCCTCCCCATGACACCATTCACCCAGCTGTGCCAGAACCAAGGTGGAAACACATTTTGTTTTACGCTGAGGTGCAAGCAGGACAGACTGACTCGACTGGGGCCAATATGCTGCGATCTGACCAGAGACAGTCACAGAAACGCACAGGCACCAGAGCCCGCAGGACTGGCAGGCCATGGTGAAGAGGGCAGGGTCAGCCTGACTGTGATGGGAAGCCACTGAAGGGTTCGGCAGGCAGAGGACCAGGCAGAATCCAGGAGTCCAGGAGTGCTAAGACGGTGATGGGTCCTACAGCTTTAGCAGTGGAGATGGGGGAAAATTTGGAAGATGTTTGGGAGCTGGAGAAGGCAGAACTTGCTGGTGGATTATATGCAGGGTGTGCAGGTACCTCAAAGGTGACTTCCTGTCTCTTCTCCCACAGGCCCCCTTTCTCTTCCGGACCTCCTGTGAAGTATGTATTAGATGCTGTCATTCCAGCTCCCGTGATTTTTGCTGATTTCCTATTTTCCATCAATTCGCTTCTGTATCCCTTTGTAGGTGATTCTATAAGATCGTTTTCTCCACTCACAAATTCTCTTCAGCTATATCTAACCTGTATTGATAACTAGCAAGTTTTCAATTCTAGTACCTTGCATTTACTATGTTCTCCAAATTTGTCTATTTTTTGTTTTCCTTATTTTTATATCTAAATAATTTTATGGTCCTTCAGATTTGTAGTCCTTTACAATTATCCACTTATTTATGCATTCGCTAGTTGATTCTTGCACATGCCCTGACTGGAGACGGAACCCACAATCTTGGTGTGTTGGGGTGATGCTCTAACCAACTGAACTACCCAGCCAGAGCCTCTATTTGCAGTTTTTTTTTAAATTACTTACTTATTTTTATTGATTATGCCATTACAGTTGTTCTCTTCCCCCTTCATTCCCCTCCACCCTACCCCCCATCCCCACCTTTAGTTTATGACCATGTGTCTCAACTTCTTTAGGTTCTGTATTTCCCATACTATTCTTGCCCCCCCATCTGTTTTCTATCTACTGTCTATGCTACTTATTTTCTGTACCTTCTCCCCCCTTCTCCTCCTCCCACTCCCCTGTTGCTAACCCTCCTTGAGATCTTCATTTCTATGTTTCCACTCCTGATCTAGCTGTCCTTTTAGTTTGCTTTTGTTTTAGGTGTGGTTGTTAATAACTGTGAGTTTGCTGTCCTTTCACTGTTCATGTTTTTTTTTAACTTGTTTTTCTTAGATAAGTCCCCTTAGCATTTCATATAATAAGGGCTTGGTGATGATGAACTCCTTGAATTTGATCTTATCTGAGAAGCGCTTTATCTGTCCTTCCATTCTAAATGAAAGTTTTGCTGGATAGAGCATTCTTGGTTGTAGGTCTTTGGATTTCATGATTTGGAATACTTCTTTCCAGCCCCTTCTTGCCTGGAAGGTCTCTTTTGAGAAATCAGCTGATAGTCTGATGGGGACTCCTTTGTAGGTGACTGTCCCCTTAGCTCTTGCTGCTTGTAGGATTCTCTCCTTCATTTTAATCTTGGCTAATGTAATTCTGATGTGCTTTGGTGTGTTTCTTCTTGGGTCCAACTTCTTTGGGACTCTGAGCTTCCTGGATTTCCTGGAAGTCTATTTCCTTTGCCAGATTGGGGAAATTCTCCTTTATTATTTGTTCAAATAAGTTTTCCACTGGTGGCTGTTCCTTTCCCCCTTCTGGTACCCCTATAATTCGGATGTTGGAATGTTTAAAGACGTCCTGGAGGTTCCTAAGACTCTCCTCATTTCTTTGAATTCTTGCTTCTTGACTCTTTTCTGTTTGGCCATTATTTGCTTTCTTCTGGTCCACTCCATTGATTTGAGTCCCAGTTTCCTTTTCATCGCTATTGGTTTCCTGTGCAATTCCATTCATTTCAATTAGTTTCGCCTTCATATGTATATCTAATTTGTGGCTATAATCAACCAGTTCTGTGAGGATCCTGATCACCAGTGTTTTAAACTGTGTGTCTGAGAGTTTTGCTATTTCTTCATTGCTTAGATTTATAGGCTCTGGGGCTTTGAGATCTTTTTGAGCCATTTTTGTTCTGTTCACGCCCCTTAAGTACCAGGAGCAGAGCCTTGGACTCCCAGGTCGCTAGGTTGTGACGCTGTATGTGGGGGCGTGGTCAGAGCAGGGAAATGGCGGCCCCCTCTGCTGTTTCTTGCTGCTGGGTGAGGAGCAGAGCCTCAGGTGGTTCACCAGGGCAGGGCCACTTAGGTCGCTGGGTTATGACGCTGTATGTGGAGGCGGGATCGGAGCAGGGAAATGGCGGCGCCCTCTGCTGCCTCTCGCCACTGGGGCCTGCTGGGTCCCATCCCATCGCCCACTCCCTTGCTTGTCTGTCTACGCATGGATGCGAGACCACAGTCAACTCGCAGCCCTGCTCCCTTGCTGTTTCCCCGTGGTCGCTCGCTGAGTTGCCCACCAGGTCCAACCCTGCGCCTGGATTCCGCGCGCCTGAGTCTGTCTGACCGAGTTTTCCTGTGCAACCCTGCTCCTCCGGCTGCTGGTTTCGCCCCTCTTACCGGTCAGGCTGAAGAATTTGTTATGAGACTTCTGAAAAGTTCAATTTTCTGTGTTCTGGCTGTGTTTTCTGTTGCTAATATTTAGTTGTCTCTAAACTTGGTTGTGTGAGGAAGCACAGCATCTCCACCTGTGCCTCCTTCTTGGCGGAAGTTGTGCCTATTTGCAGTTCTTAAAGAACCAGTTCTCCTGTTTGCATCTGCTGACTTTTCCTCCAGAAAGTAGTTCTGTGCCTCCTGGAGACCGTGTGTGTGTGTAAGTGACTATAAATTTGATCCTAGAATCTTTCCCCCTACTGAATCCTGTCAAAACCTATCTAAAACTCTCCTATAGGGCGGTTTTGTATTTGCTAGGGTCCCAGAGTTGATTCTATTTTCTTGATTTGTGGTTCCTACAGTATGCACTTAGCATATACCCAGATCTGGGATTCTGATTTCTCATGGAGAACTTTGTTTCTGAGCCAGTCTTGTTTGGAGGGGGTTAAGTTACAGCTCCATTTCTGTCCCTCCTGTATGCATAAAACCAAGTCTTCATTCCCTACACAGATACTAGGATCTCAGTTCTATATCCTTCAACAGAACTTCACTGGCTTGAGGGAATTTACCAGAGACTAGGAATCCTTTCTTGAAGCAGGAGGCAATTTTTGTCTCCTTAGAGATGATGGCTGGCACTGACTTGTGTCAGTAGTAAACATTTTCTATTAATTGACATAGACATAACTTGGTTTTGATTTATAGTTTTACACTGAATAGTCTGGCACTTAACACTTTCCTGTGATCAATTTCACTTGATAGCCCACTGATACCAGCATATATTCTAGGAAATTGAGGTCTTTCTTTAAGTAGGGAGAGGACCGTATTGGGATTCTTTGGAATGGGTATGTGATGGAATGCTTACTACTTTTTTGTAATTTCTATTCTCTTAGAGGCAGAACTGGGGGTACTGTAAGTGGTCATGTTCTCAAACAGCTTCACTGAAGTATTTACTTGTGAATAAACTTATATAACCATCAGAAAGGAATAAGGTTATATACTATACTAGGTCAATCAGTCCAATATCAGAGACTTTCACCCTTGTTATAATAAGCTCCTGTTGAAAGGCTAGAATCTTTTTGAGAAATGTTTGTGGATATATTCACATAGCAAAAGTATACACAGAACTCTAAATTTTAATATTTCTTTAGTCCTAAAAACTTAGTGTTTCTTATAGGAAAATCATAACGACAGCTGATAATCTCTGAACATATACTTATTTTTAGCTGAAATTTTCTGAAATAAAGGCGGAGACCAGTACAGTGGATATCCATGAACCCTAACCCAGATTAAAATGTTGACATGCTCTCATACTTGTTTTGTTTCCCACATGCACACATTCGTCATTACCACATCCACAAAATTAACGGCTGTGTTTCATGTCGCTCACTACTCAGTCCAGTTCTCCCCATGCAGGCATTATTCTTAGGCAGCACTACTATTACTCTGTCTTACCTGACTTCTAGCCATCTTTCCAATTTGGAAACAACTAACTTTTATGGTGTGAATTCTCTTCCTACTTCTTTGATGATACATTGCTCCCTACACATTCTTAGGAAATATCAATTACTCTGAGCTATGTTATATAGCTGGCTTATGGAAATAAAATATAGTTAACTTTTAGTTAACTTAAAAAATTAAAGTCAAGTCCTGGTTGAGTGATCAGTTGATTGAAGTGTTGTCCCATAAAACAGTCAGTCACAGGTCTGACCCCCGGGTTAGGGCATGTACAGGAATCAACCAATCAGTGTTTCTCTCGGTCTCCCCCCATATCAAACCATCCTTGGGTGAGGATTAAAAAAAATTTCAACTCGGGTATCCTGGCTCAGCTAGCCAGTGCTATATAGAATGGATATTCTATGTAAAGTCGAGCGTATCCTTTTGGTCTTTCACTTTGTACAAAGAAAACACAGGTGCATACATTTTACAGTGTCGATCTTATTTATTGTTCTCTGTGGAATGCTGGGTTTAATGGCACAGTATGTTGTCAAAGCTGCTGAAATGTGACACACGTCCGTGTCTAAATGCTGCAGAACAGTGTGGCTGATGATTTTAAACAGAAGTGTTATGTTACAGTTGAGGTCTGATGGTTTTAAACCAATGCCTGTGTGTATGGCCAGCCACAAACTCTAGGGATGTTCATTATCTGTACATGTATATACAAATATGTCTCATACATATATATGCACACAGGCATGTATTAATTTGTGAAATTTATAAAACTATATACATAGACACACATGCACGTCTATACACACATACCCACCCTGACCCTTGAGCTCACTTCTTCAACACTAGTTAATCAGCTCAGGCCCAGTTATTATTGCTGCCCAGTATAGTGACTACATGATTTCAGTACCTAGCACCTTTTTGGATGCAGGATGGGTGTATGTCTGTGCATATAGAAATGTATATTTATGTATGTTCGTACATATAAAGGAATTATGTCTCCCTTTTATGCTTCAATCATGCATTACTTCAATAAACAGTCTTATCACCATAGGTTTTGGAATTCTAAACAGTGTAAAATCTACTTCTGGAAAACTGTATATGTTTATAGTTACAAAAAATATATATATATATGTCATTGAAACCTATTGTGTATATATGTTCTTTGAATCTGGCTATATCCTAGCCATTACATAAATTAAAAAAACACCCTCTTAATAGGATGTTATTATGGTAGCCTTAAATAGACCATTACCTATGTTTAGAATAGTGGATATATTTTAAAAGTTGACAAAATCATGTTAAAGATTTGAAAAACACTATGCATCTGCATTAAATATATAAAGGTTTACACCAAGGGCATGGTTCAATTCATTGTCTAAGATTTTTCATGTTCCAAGAGTGACCAATTATCATAGTCATTATTCTTAAAATTATGGCTCATTGGGCCTTTTATACAAAAAAGCCCTATTTTAATCATATATAAAAACAAGTTCCATTTAAAAGGAAAACGGCACGTGTCCACACACTGAAGTGCCGTGTGCAGACAGGAGGCCCGCCCCAGTGAGAACGCCTCGTGGCAGCATGTGTAAACCTGGTTCGGCTCCTCGGCTCCGCATGTAAAATCTAAACCATTTCACATTAACATTTAAATTTAATACAGTGCAAATATGTGAGAATAACTTGTTCCCCCCAGTGAAACAAGAACCAGCGTTATGCTGAATATTCTTCAGATCTATTTACACATTGAGCTAAAAGTTCACCGTATAAACTTTGAAATTTGCTGAATATCAGCAGAAATGTAACCGAACTAGCAGCAATTACATTAACAACATTTGATAGTTACTTGAGAGATTGCATAAAATTTTCCAGGCTGTACTCTGAATCATACTGTTCTTGATCCCAAAGATCACTCAGGTTTTCAAGAATTGACTTTATACTTGCTTTTCCAGAAGTAGAGGTGTCAGTTTTTTCTGCTTTTCCATCCTTAAGAAAAATTGGCACAGAGAAAATGAAGAATTATTAAATAAAAAATTAGATTTTCCTTTAAAATGTCATACTTGTTTCTAACATTGCACTTATGCAACAGAGTTAAGTGATGGGTAAGTTCATCTCATGAGACAGCTTATTTTGTTTTCCCACAGGCCTAATAATTTTATGATTTTAACTTTTTTATTTGGGAAGAATTTTAAGATCACAGAATATAAGAACATTACAAAGAACTCACTGTTCACTGTGTCATGTCGGCTTTGTCACTCTCTCCCATATATATATACATACACACATATGTATGTACGTATGTGTATGAGCTAGACATATAGTTAAATAATAAACAGCTCTTTATCCAAACCATTCAAGAGTAAGTTGTAATTGTTATCCATTATCCCTAGATAGAAATAAGCTTGTATTCCTCAGAACAAGAACATTCTCTTATATAACCAAAGGTAACATTACAATTTAATACAAACTGATATATTAAAATGCTCTAATATGTAGTTCATATTCAAATTTTCCTATTTGCCCCACTGGGATCCTTTTTAGCAATAGTTCTTGTTTCCCTGGAACATCCCTCCCTGAGACCAGTTCTCCTTGCTAAAAGCCACATGTAAGAATATTCTTTCAAACAAAATAGAAGCTATTTGAAGGCAGTAATCCATGTTTCTTTGAGCCTTCTCTTTTCTAGGTTATACTTGCTTTTTCAACCTTACCTTATATGACATGATTGAAGAACCCACCTCCATTCTGGCCACCTCTCAGGACTTACATAATATTCTAAAAGTGGCTGAACACACACAGTACAGTGGACCTACTTTCTCTCAGGTTTGGACATTACATTTCTGTTATTACAGCTAGTTTAATTACACTATCTAAGGTCAGTTCTCACCATAATTTGTACTGGGTGCGCAGCTGCCTTTCTCAACCTAATGCAGGACTTTAAATCCAACCCCATTTGTTTTACATTATTAGGCTGACTGATACATCCAGCTGGTGCATCCTTTGACTATGGATTACACAATAACAATAATGGCTACTATGTACTGAGAATCTATACTAGATACCCTTTCTAAGTGTTTACATATACTACTTTAACTTCATAACCATGCACTGTTATTCTCCCAAGGGTATAGATGTTGGTTAACTTCCCTAACGTCACTGGTTAACAGAAGGCAGGGCAAAAAACACAAACCCAGGTTTAGCTGACTTCAGTGACAAATGTTCTTTAGTAGGAAAGGACTGAAGAAAGAAATCTTGGGGCAAGACACTGGAGACATTAATCAAAGTCAAAACTCTGAACATCCCCTAGAATCCTGGAGAGTTTTATCTGGATGTCAAAAATTCCATCAAAAAGTTGTCTAGTTGATACCAAAGTGAATGCCTTTTGCTACTCCTTTCAATACTTTCACCAAGCAGTCTCAGGAAGGCTGTGCATGCATTAGAGAGCAAACTGTGTTAAATTCTTTACCTTATCAAGTGTAAACAGATCGAGCAGTTGATCTGTCCCCATACTCTGCAAACTAGAATTCTCTTGGCTGATAACTGTATTTGCTATGTTCATCTTGAATTTCTGCAAGCCCATTATTTTCTCTTCCAACGTTCCTCTTGTTATCAATCGGTACACGTTAACCACACGTTTCTGAATTAAGAAAAAGCAAATGTAGCACAAACTAACTGATAAGGTTTGAGGTTCAACAAAAGAGGGGGCTTGCATTCTTAATTACCATCTAATTATGGTTGGGTTCTCTTTATCTGGCCCCATGAGCTTAAAATGTTTGCAGAGAATCACAGAATATTAGGAACAGAGAGCGTCCCACTTTTCTTAGCCCAAGCCACTTCATTTAATGCGTGAGGAAATGATGCCACAGAATTAAGTGACTTGTCTAAGGTCAAACATTTGTTAATATCAGAATAGGAACTTAAACTGATTGTCTTTTTGAGAAGTTTTCCCAGCTTGCAGGTTAACAACTGTAAGTGGTGACTTTTTACCTGCCCAATGCGATGGGCCCGGTCCATGGCTTGTAGGTCACGCATGGGGTTCCAGTCATGCTCTACGAATACTACCGTGTCAGCGCCTGTTAGGTTAAGCCCCAGGCCACCAACGTGAGTTGTAAGTAAGAGAACATCTATGGATGGATCGTTGTTAAACCTAAAAGTGTAGATATTTAAAAATAAAATTAGTACATTTCTTTCTAAAGTACCTACACTACAGAAATTGGACTATTTAATAAAAATTAAAGAACACAAATGAGAATACTTCTTTACAAATCTATTACACAGACATTTCTATGACCACTTAAGATGAAACTATATTCTTTTATTGGGTTGGCCAAAAAGCTTGTTTGGTTTTTCCTGTAAGATGGCTGTAATAGTGCTTTGTTGTCTTTAACTTCATTTGAAACAATCTTTTTAGATTGTAACAGCTGTTAGACTGTAATTTTGTGACAGCTGTCATATCAGCATGCATTAAAAAAACTTACCAAAATTGGTGAATTTTTTGGTAGCCATTTTAATATTAAAAATGAAAGAAAATACACATTTTCAGCATATTATGCTTTATTATTTCAAAAAAGGTAAAAATGCAAATGAAACAAAAAAAGATTTGTGCAGTGGATGGAGAAGGTGCTGTGACTGATCAAACATGTCCAAAGTGGTGTATGAAGTTTTGTACTGGAGATTTCTCACTGGACCATGGTTGGGTAAACCAGCTGAAGTTGAGAGCAGTCAAACCGAGATGTTAATTTTGAACACCTGATGTTCTACCATGAAGAAGATAGCTGACATAAAATATCCAAATCAATAAACTTACTGGTGAAAATGAAAAATGTATACTTCATCTTGAGGAAAAACTAAATGGGAGTTTTGGCCAACCCAATAATATATAAGGTGGGGCAAAAGTAGGTTCACATTTGTTCATGTGGAAAAAAAAACAACAATAAACTGTGTTTCACGTATCAACAATTGTAAACCTATTTTTACCCTACCCTGTACTTAACATCTTTAGTAGAAAGAACGTATTCTAGAACACGTCAGAAATTTTACAAACAGAAATAAATCTAATAGGATTATATTTTAGAGTATCAGATCAAGGCTAAGTTCCAAAAATGTAATTAAACACTAATTATAATTAAGACAAAACTCAACTATGAACCTTTAGGGAGACAGAGAAGACAATGGGGGAAAGGCCAGATCAATTGGGGAAAGCAGAGGACAAGTTGTTGAGGGTTGCTGCTACTCCTAGAAGGAGCACTCCTAGAAGGTATTCACAAAGGACATTAGTAACTTCTAGGAAAAAAGAAAAACTAACGTTAATACCAAATTACCCTTTACTACATCTCATGATGAGACAAGCAATGGGCTTTGTACTTTATATGCATTATGCCACTCAATTGTTAAAGCAGTTCTATGAGGATGTTATCATTGACCTTATTGTAGAAAGATTCCGACTCTGCGGGTGGTAACAGGACACGGCCTAAACAGCACAGACAGGAGCCACACCTAGGTCTGTCTGCCTCCAAAGCCCGTTCACGCATCTCTAACTGTATTGTGCCGAACCGTCTCTTCAGGATGCATGTTAAAAATGCACACTCTTGAGGTTAGGAGGTCTGGGAGAGAACCTAAGAATCTGCATGTAGAAACCTGCCATTTCTAAAGCAGAGGGTGCAGGCCCCACTTACAAAGCACTGTACTCACTGATTTCGCTTCCTAGCTGGGCCGGCTCCCAACTCTTCTGAACAGAAACACAGAGATCAGGATACAGATCTCAGCTAAGCCACTTCCTCCCACCCCACAAAAAGGTGAGGTGAAATTTAGTTATTTCTATTTACTGTTGCCTTACATTTCTTTCATACCTTTCAAAGTGCTATCCTAATACAGTCACACTTTTTTGTTCAACTAAAACTATTCAACTATATTTCTGGAGGTCTATATTTTTAAATTTTCTCAATTTGTTTTGTAGTTTTCTCTCTCTCTCTCTATATATATATATTTTTAAATCAATGTATGGCTGCTTCTGGTGTATCGCCTGCTGGGAACTGGCCTGCAACCCAGGCATGTGCCCTGATGGGGAAATCGAACCGCGATCTTTTGGTTCCCAGGCCCGTGCTCAATCCACTGAGCTATACCAGCCAGGGCTTGTAGTTCTATATTTTTGAAGAAAATACAATGAGGCCAACTTCTATGTAAGTCATAATACATTGACGATAGCCTCGATTTACAAGTTTTAGAAGCCACTTACCGTGAAACAATGGAATGCCTCTGACCAGGAGGTATGCTTCCATCTAATCTCAGGTAAGTGACCGTGGGTAAGTGAGGTTTGAGAAGATCATATTCTACTATGTCAAGCATGCTTTTCAGCTGACAGAAGATCAGGATCCTGTGCTGGGCCACCACAGACTCTGTGCCACTCTCTGAAGTGCTGCCATTTCCCAAACCACAGTCCAACAGCAACTTGAAAAAAGAATCAGTTCTTACACAGGTATTCGATAAAAGCAGGTAACCAATAGTTTTTGAAGCTATACCTCATATAAAATGGTTTTTAGATTATTTATTATCTATTAGGCAGTGTACGTATATAACTATACAACTATATACTGACATGCTTACAGTGCCTAAACTACTCAGTACTCAAAATAATACTCAAAATTTGGTCTGACTGATATAAAATACAGTGAAACTATGATGACCTCATTATGCTGCATTAATCCTATCAAAATCATATTAGCTTTATTAACCAGCAAATAGTTCATACAGCAGGTGTGTAGTGAACTTGCGATCAGCGCAAACTCAACTTTACCCTATATAAACTGTTTGCCAAGTCTGACATAACTTATTATATATTTACCTAAGAGTTGTGTTTTAAAATTGACTCTGCTTATTGCCCTTAAATGTCACCTACAGTTTCAGTTCATTCCACTCTACCAAAATTTTTAAATATTGGCTCTGGCAATATTAAATACTTCTGGCACTATTACCAACTGAAGAAAAGAAACATTTTTTTTTTTTTACTTCTCCTGCCAATCTTTTAAAAAGCAAGTTAAGATTTCTACTTCAGAGAACTGAGGTATTTTAAATAAAAGAAAGCAAGTTACTACTCTCCTGAGACAGAACTCTCACTCTGAGTAGCTGAGAAGAGCTAGGCAAATGGAAAAGCAGAGTTCTAGAAAAGCCCTCCCTGAGTACAGCCACAAATAATCTGGGCCTAAGGTACAGCGTTCCTAAGCTTCCAGACACTCAGGGTGACAAGAGGCACTCTAAAATGAGAGATACTTTTTACTTTTTTACCTAGTTATTACTTACACTAAGGTGCAAAAGTACAGGCTAAAAATAAGTTAAAGCCTATAGTAGAATTATAATGTGGATGAAATTCAATTTTTATTCAAAAATTGATTATAATGTGTCAGTGTGGATCTAACTGTTGAAAAACAATGAATCTTATAAGAAAAAAAAAAAAAAGGTGACTTGTTATGTAAAAGGGATCCTCAACAAGATTAGCACCTGATTTCTCATCAGAAACCATGGAGGACATTACCAAGAAAGGGAAAGACAATATACAGGAGGGGAGTAAGTATTCAGTATTTGTAAAACATATCTGGTAAGGGCTTAATATCTACAATATAAAAGAATCCCTAAAGCTCAACCAAAAGACAAGCTAATCAAAAAATGGTCAAAGGGATTTCCACAAATATACATAAATATCCAATAAGCACATGAAAAGATGCTCAACGTCACTGGTCATTAAGGATAGCAAATCAACAATGAGATACCATGTAATAATGCCTACTAGAATGACTAATAAAAAAAAATTATTGCAGAGGATGCCGAGAAATTGTAACCCCGGCACATTGCTGGTGGGAATGTAAATGGTACGCAATGGAAAATAATTTGTCAGCTCCTGAAAAATGTCCACAAAATTGCTGCAGGTTACAGCTAGCAATTCCACTCTCAGGTCTGTATCTAAAAGAACTGAAAGAGGGACACAAATACTTATAAGCCAATGTTCACTGCAGCATTATTCACAACAGCTAAAAGGCAGAAATGACTCATGACTGGATAAACAAAATGTGGTATATAAATATAAATAATAGCAGCAATAATGGAAATTATTCAGCCATAAAAATGAAGTACCAATCCATGCCAACATGAATAAACCTCGAAAACAAGCCAGTCACGAAAGGACAAATATGATTCTACTTACATGAAATATTTAGAACATGCAAATTCATACAAACAAAGTATATGAGAAGTAATCTAGTGTTGGGGGAAAAGATGTATGGGAAGTTACTGCTCAATGGGTACAGAGTTTCTCTTTGGGTAGAAAATTTTTTAAAATTAATGCTGGTACCAGTTGTACAACATGGTGAATATAAATAATGTCACAGAATTATACACTTAAAGATGGTTAAAATGGCACATGTATGCTTATGTATATACTTTATCACAATTTTTAAAAAGCTATACCAAAAATTTAACAAACCAAATTAAAAAATAAAGTGGCACATATGTCAGTAATCTACTGAAAAGGCAAATTTACTTAGATTAGGAATGCTTAAGATCTAATACTTAAAAGACCTACTTACTTGCTTCAAAGCTGAGAGTTTAGGGGCATGTTGAATATCATGAAGAGAAGAATTCTGAACTGCCAGTTTTTCAGTAGTACTCTTGAACTCTGGATGTTGAGGTGTTAAGACTAATGCTGGATGGTTGCACAGTTTACGTAAGTACTGTAATGCCTTTAAAAGAAAAAAGTATAGATATAAGTCCACCTCACATGCCACAAATGTTTGTATCTTTTCCTACTCTATTCTCTGTCTAGAATGCCTTTCTTCCTATTCTCACCACTCCTACCCATTCTTCAAGAACCAATTCAAATATCTTGTATATGCCTTCACCCACATTTCTTGTGCAGTCTGTATTTACTTTTGAGAACATTTGTAACTTGTATAAATTATATGTCTGTATCCCCTACTAGACAACGAGCTTCTTATGGCAGAAAGACCTATTTTGGTTCAACAGGTCTATGGCAGGAGGCTGAGAAACTACGTGGTTATTTCAAGTGGTTGTGTTTGAGAATCAGAACCCTACAGGATCTCTTGTTTTCTTTGATTCAGCCACACCCTTTCTCTTTTGCTTCTTACTTGGGTTATAATGATTCATGTCTCACCTTTGGCACAGAGATTTGAATTAGCAAGCTCCACTGAGACTGCTGGGCACTGTAATAGAAACTGTCGGAGATACAACCTTTTCCCCTCTTCTATCTTTAAAAATGCTACAGTATTTAATGTATTAGTGGCAAGGGGGTTTGGGAGGATTTCTACAGTGGAACACTTCAAAGGGGAAAAAGAGGAAGTTGACATTTTCCATGTCTTTTTCATTTGCTATGCCCTCCAGCACAAGGCCTCAGGATTCTGTACTTTTTGTATCCTCAGTGCAGAATCACTTCCCCCTACATATTCACCATTCCTCAATCCACCTTCAGATCTCTACTAAAATTTCATATTTTTAGTACACCCCTGTTCCCTCAATTAAAAATCATAACCTGTCCTGAAATCTATACTGTACAACCCCATGTTCTGCTTTTTTCTCTTACATACTATGTATTTCACTTATTCATTGTTCGTATCTACAAGGGAGAAAACCTATTTTGTCTACTGTTTGAATTAATCCCTGAACTTAAAAAAAGTACCGCCTTGTAGGTGTTCAATGTAAGATTTTTCTACACTAAAACTACTTTAATGTAATAAATACATTATCTTGCATGTTTACATTTAATTTTAACATTAAATCATTAATTATGAATATGAAAATAAACAGTTTAACCTATTTTTAAGAATGTATACAAAGTATTGAAAAATTTTAAATACACCCATATTTCAGTGTTCCATGTACAACTTGCTGCATTGAAGAATACTCTTAAGCAACACTTAAAAAGTGGGTTGTAATCTATACCTGGAATACATGGCCTGTAGCTTTAAGCTTTGGTTTTTCAGTTTCTTCAGAAAGTGCAGCTGAAGAAACTGTTTCATCAACATCACACTTGGCGCGAGACTTAGCAAAATCCTCATAGAGCTGAACCTGTAAAATTTCCCCCACAGAAGAAGTATACTTATTTTCAGTTGTTGAAAAGATAACTAGCACAGGCCAGTAAGAGCAATAAGAAGAGATCAACCCTCATTAAGAAAATAAATCATGACACCTATATTTCACTACTAATTACAGACAGTACACTGCATCTTGGTAAATCCCTTTAAAATTACATTTAGAACACAAGTATGAAATTAAGTTTGGCTGCTAAAATATTAGTCAAATAGTTCTAGACTCAAATTTTTCTACTCTGTTCAGAAGATACCACGAAATACAATACCACTAAAAGAGAACTGAACCCTTACAAGTAACTGAGAAAATCTCCCTTAAAAGAACTCTATAGGTACATTTCAAGAGACCAATTTTTAAAATAATACTGCTACCTAAAAGGGGAACGCATATCAAACTTGGGTCTGGGTTCTGCTTGTACATGCTAAAACAACGCAAAAGGGAAGAAAATCTAGAGTGCTAAAGAACAAAAGTCAGAGTATAAAGACCTATGAAAGCTGAATAAAGCCAATGTCACTCCCTCCTCAGCTCCCCTCCTCCGTACTACTAAATGTACTTTGTGCGACATTTCAACACCATTGCCAGTATATCACCACCGCTTTTTTTCATATGGCACCTTTTCTATATTGTACTTTAAAAAGTCTTTATATCTTGTTGCCCATAAAATATTTCTTTTAAGAAACATGAACCTTATTTTTACAAATAAGAAATGGAGGCCCAGAGAGGAGGTACATAAGATGATCACAGAATTCTTAGCATCTACAGAATTCTTAGCATCTACATTAGTGTCTTGCCCATTGCAAATACTAACAGGTTAACTGTCTACACACTGGAGGGGAAAGAAGGTAGGTTTGTAGGTTATATCTATATATCTTTTATTTATTTAATCAACTCATACTACTGAAATAGACTGATGAATAGTAACCTGGAACATAAGGTAAATATTCAAACAGAAAATTCTGATTATAGGCCATGACTTAGTAGGGTATGGACTGTAAGGGACAGTTTCCCCTTACGAAATACTACATAAGGAAAGTCATACAAAAAATTCCTTTGATAATGGTCTCTGCGTATGAAATCAGAACTGTGCAGAAGCCAAAATTTCTAAAATTTATCAGATATGCAATAATACATTAAAAGGGATGAGGTACCCACTCCCCCAGGTTTGAAACTCAGCTCCAACATGTATTAGCTATATAACCTTGAGTGAGTTGCTTAACTCTCTGAGCTTCAGTTTCCTTATTTTTAAAAATGGGGATTGACAATACCTATAATACTGTTGTGAGGATAAGACATTACAGGCAGATTTTTTGGCCCTAATAAACATTTCAACTATTTAACCTTGCAACTTTTTCAATAGACATATAAGAAAGAAACTATGCTACTAAATTTTGTTTTAATGCTACAAATTAATGGGTGTGTGTTTAATTCAAAAGACACACCCAAAGATATCTATATACACAAACAGATTCATTTAAATCTTATCTACATCTGTATGAAACAGATTATTTTTCAAGTCTAGGAAAGAAGAAGCTAGATTAGAGCGACAAAGGCTATCCCCCTTTATTCAATACTTGTGTGGCTTATTCAAAGCATTCTACTAATAAATATATCATCAGATTCCTAACCTGGAGGGGACTAAGATTACAGTAATAGTCTTGAATAATTTTGGGTGGAAGGTCCTGCAAAACATCTTCTTTCATTCTTCTCAAAAGAAATGGTAGGACTTGGCGGTGCAGTGCATCCATTGCAAGGACACCTGTTAATAAGAAGAGAAAATGGCTCAAAAAAGTTAGGAATAAATTACATCCATGTGTACAGAGAATATATCTCTTTTTCATACCTGCTTCTTGTTCTCGACTGGAGCTTCGAGCATCCCTACTTGCTAATATAGGTTTACCATATCGAGCAGCGAACTGGCGTTCAGTCCCCAAAAATCCTGGCATGAGGAAATCAAATAATGACCACAATTCCAAAACGTTGTTCTGAATACAAAGAAGGAAGATATGTTACCTTTTGTACTGGGATTATTTACTTAACACTTAAAAAACGAAATATTAACAAAAGCACATCTATGTCATTATAATGACATAGATGAGAGAGGATCACATTTTTAGGTATATGGTATATCTATATTTTAATGTGTAAAATTCAGGTTAGCATCCATGGAGAAAATACTTTATCTTATGGATAGAAGTTTTCAAGTTTCCTCCACCAGATAAGCCTTGGTCCATAGTGTTTAAATCCTATTGGTGGCATAAAGTAAATAAAGAGCCAAAGGATGAATGACTGTGTTTCTGGTTCTTTTAATTTTGACATTCAAATTAATGGCGAGATTTAAGGAATGTGGCCAAAATCACCATTTCTTTAACAAAGGAAAACCCTGGAAGAGTTTGGTTATATGTCAAATCTGCCCAATATTTATGGGTTATGAGGAACAGGCACAAACTCTCTCCAATTCTGTTGAAGCTTTATTGTGGGGGGAGGGAAAGAGAGAGAAAGACAGGGAGGGGAACAGGAGAGAAAGAAACATTTTCATTTTGGATGCTTTCCCAATGTGTGTGTATATCATAAGTTGCCACTGCACCCTTTAACCAAGGGGTCCCCAACCCCCAGACCAGAACCCTCCTGCTGCCTGTTAGGAACTGGGCCTTGCAGCAGGACAGCAGGAGGTAAGTGCAGGCAAGTGAGGAAAGCTTTGAGTACCGCCTGACCTCCACCTCCTATCTCCTCCCCACCACCCTGGTCCATGGAAAAACTGTCTTCCACCAAACCAGTCTCTGGTGCCAAAAAGGTTGGAGACCACTACTTTAACCCTTCCAGATGCCCTCCTCAACCTGCTCAGGATCTAGCTTACCACACCTGACTGCCCTCCCGTAGGATGGACACCCTTCAAATCACACTTAAGTTTTACCCCCAATTTTGGGCTACCATAGCTCTTTGGTGCAGAAACCAACCTTGCAGCTTCAGACCCGAACTGTTCAGGCAGGTATGAGGGAAAAGAAGACTGTTTTTAAGCAAACAAAAACAAAACAAACCAACAAAAACCAAAGAACGAAGAACCACCCTCTTTTGGTGTTTTGTGAAAGCAATAAACTGTTTAAAAATACTGTGAAATTTCCATGTAATTCTAAATTGAAACAAAATAAATGATGATAATTCAAGCTTAAGAGTCTTTTTTTTTCCTTTTAAAGGTACCTTTCTTGTCCTAATTTCTTGTGACTAAGTGATTATTGTGGTTATTATAATCCATAGTGTTCACTTAATGGACAAAAGCCTAACACAATAATCAGTCCATCACCAAAAATAATTTTAAAGAAAAGTAACAAATACATAAACAAAAAATTACTAATTATTTCAGAGGCAGAGAGACTCTTAGAGTCTCACTTGGTGTTTATCTTCCCACTAACTGGGGAGTGATGAAGGGTTTCCCATCACAGTGGGCTATCCAAGCTAGGCGTGAACACTTGCAACCAACTCCTCTGGAAGATAACACTTTTATATATTCAACCATTTTCCTTTTTCAACGTAAACTTTGATGATCTCCTGCCTTCACCTGCTTCCTAACCTAGGCATTCACACTTCTTACTATATGAAGATTCACCTCTGAATCAGCACTAGCTTTTCAGTGTTAAATCAGATTGTGGTGAATTACTACAAAAGGAGAATGGCCAGTTAGGAATAGAGTCTGACTAATTGTCTCCCAGATCTTGGACACAAGACTTCTACTTACATAGCCTAAAACTGTATTTTAAATATGACTTTAAAAACCTAGTTTGCTCAGATACTGCTACTTACACCAATGGACCATTAGAAAAGCAAGATAATTACTGGAAATTATCATTCCTATCAAACTAAAAAAAAAGCCCTCTTATTTAATTTACTGTCCATGGGAAGCCTCTCCACATGGTAAATATTTAAAAAAAAAAGTAATACCTGTATTGGTGTTCCAGAAAGAATAATCCTGTAATTAGCAGTCAGTTGTTTTACAGCTTTTGACAATTTTGTTTTTCCATTTTTGATGACATGGCCTTCATCAAGAATACAGTAGTTAAATTTAATATTTCTAAGGGAGAATAAATAATAAATTTTAGCAACTTTTACTGTATGTCAGAGGCAAAAAAATAGTTTCTCCAAATTTGATACTAAATTTTTCTCTTAAAAAAAAATTTAACTCTTACCTAAAGAAATCTATGTCATTCCTCACAACATCATATGAAGCCACTATCAGATTATGTCTTTTTACTTGATGCTGTAACCTGTATTTAAAAATAAATAAGGTTATTGAGAAGAACTTCTGGCCAAGATGGAGGTGTAGGTGGATACACTGTGCCTCCTCAAACCAAAATTAAGGACAACAAAGATTTAGAAACAAAAACACAACCAGAATGGAGAGAAAACTGAACTGTACAGAAGTCCGACAACCATTCACCCAGACTGGTAAAAGGGGTGGAGTCTGTGGCTGGTGAAGTGGGGTCGAGGCAGGAAAAAGAGGAGGCTGGCAGACCCGGGCACGCAGGTGGCACAGAGCTAGGAGACCCCAGGCACCAGAAGGAAACAAGCAGACACACTGAGGAGCTCAAGACTACTGGCTGACCATGGTCACACATTCGCACGCAGATAAACCAGGCAAAAATGGGCAGCGAGACAGACCAAGCAACCCAGGGCCCCAGCACTGGGAAATAAAACCTAAAAGCACTGATTGAAAACATCTTGTGGGGGTTGAGGTGCTGGGAGAGACTCCCAGTCTCATAGGAGAGTTCATTGGAGAGACCCATAGGGTCCTAGAATGTACATAAGCCCACCCACCTGGAAACCAGCACCAGAAGAGCCCAATCTGCTTGTGGGAAGTGGCAGAAGGGACTAAAACATGAGCGGAGCAAGTGCCATTGATCCCTCTCTCACCCTGCCCCCACATACAGAGTCACAACCCAGCAACTGGATTGTCCTGCCTTGGTGAACACCTAAGGCTCTGTCCCTCACACATAACAGGCGCTAACACACCAAAACATTATGGCTCATGCAGAAGAACAGCTAAAAGCCCCAGAGCCCATACTTTTAAGTGACCAAGAGATAGCCAACCTATCAGATGCACAGTTCAAAACACACTGGTGATCAGGATGCTCACAGAACTGGTTGATTTTGGTTGCAAATTAGATGAAAAAAATGAAGGCTACACTAAGTGAAACAAAGGGAAATACACAGGGAACCAATAGTGATGGAGAGAAAACTGGGACTAAAATCAATGGAGTGGACCAGAAGGAAGAAAGAAAACAACCAAACAGAAAAAAAGGAAGAAACAAGAATTCAAAGAAATGAGGAGAGGCTTAGAAACCTCCAGGACATCTTTAAACGTTCCAATATCCAAATTGGATATAGGGGTATCAGAAGGGGAAGAGGAAGAGCAACAAGTGGAAAACTTATTTGAACAAATAATAAAGGAGAACTTCTCCAATCTGACAAAGGAAATAAGACTTCCAGGAAGTCCAGGAAGCTCAGAGAATTCCAAACAAGGTGGACCCAAGGAAGAACACACAAGGCACATCATAATTACATTAGCCAAGATTAAAATGAAGGAGAGAATCCTAGAAGCAACAAGAGATAAGGGGACAGTCACCTACAGAGGAGTTCCCATCAGACTGTCAGCTGATTTCTCAAAAGAGACCTTACAGGCAAGAAGGGGCTGGAAAGAAGTATTCCAAGTCATGAAAACCAAAGACCTACAACCAAGATTGCTCTATCCAGCAAAGCTTTCATTTAGAATGGAAGGGCAGATAAAGCGCTTCTCAGATAAGGTCAAGTTCAAGGAGTTCATCATCATTAAGCCCTTATTATATGAAATGTTAAAGGGACTTATCTAAGAAAAAGAAGATAAAAAAGATGAACAGTGAAAGGACAGCAAACTCACAGTTATTAACAACTACACCTAAAACAAAAGCAAACTAAGTGGACAGTTAAAACAGGAGCGGAGTCACAGAAATGGAGATCACATGGAGGGTTAGCAACAGGGGAGTGGGAGGAGAAGCAGGGGGATAAGGTCCAGAGAATAAGTAGCATAGGCAGTGGGGAGAAAATAGACAGGGGGATGGCAAGAGTAGTATGGGAAATGTAGAAGCTAAAGAACTTATGACACATGGACATGAACTAAAGTGGGGGAATGTGGGTGGGAGGTGGTGTGCAGGGTGGAGGGGAATGAAGGGGGGAATGGGACAACTGTAATGGCATAATCAATAAAATATAAAAAAAATAAATTAGGTTAGGAAATAGGCAATTTGCAAAGTTTGTAATACAATTTCAAAGGGGAAACTACAACTGCCGTTATTAAGGTGCTTTCAACCTATTAACATTCCCTTCTCTTTACATTTATAACCCTGCTACCTAAAGGCCATTCTTCTTTTTTTGTTTGTTTGCTTTAAGGCCATTCTTCTTATAAATGGGCCTCACTGCCCTTAGTCTGATTAGAAAATAGATGGATACCTGACTTAAAATGTGGTGAACATTTTAACTTTATTTGCCAACACTCTTCCTTGGAGGCACTGTTCCCTCACTACTCCATGCTGTGTGGGAGTTGAGGGGGAGTTATCCATCACACGGCCCCATATTTATCCCAGATGAAGCATTTGAATCAAGTTGAGCCATTCGCAATATTTTATTCCCTGACTACAAAGAGCTGCTTTGCAGGAATAACTCAAACAAGGCCAGTCAGTCATCTCTAGTACCAATATATTCACAACTAGAGAGAGAAGATCTCTGTTTACTGTAGTTTCCAGGCTAGAAGAATGTGGTCCTAAGACTGCCCATGATCACCTTATCCACCAACTGTAGACTGAAGTCCTGCACTGACCAAATACTACAAGTTATATATGAGGAGGAAGAGCAAATGAGAGTAATCTAGATGTGCCTGAAACAACTATTTACCCCTGAAATTCTCAATTTAGTGAATTAATAAATTTTCCACTATTTACGCTACTCTAAGTTTCTGTCACGTGTAAATAAATGAATTCTAACTAACAGACACTACAATAAATTCTTTAAGAGTGCAAACTGTTGAGCTGCCTGTGTTCAAATCTCACCCTGCTCATTTAATAAACTGAGTGACCTTGGACCTAGGCCCCATGTCCTAAGCATCTGCAGAATGGGAACAATAATTGTACCTACACCTCATAATACACAATACACAACTGCTTAGAAAAATGCCTAGCTACTAAGTGCTCAGTATATGTTAGTTATTACTAATACAGAAAGGCAGCAAATCTATGGATGAATCAGCAATCTATGACTAATCCGAGCTTTAAATGATGAACTGAAATCAAGATCCTCTCTTCAAAATTTGTATTTAGAAATATAAGAGATGTACTAGTGAAAACAGAGAGGATAAAGCTATTAGAACTCTAGTGTTGCTACTGTATCAGGTCAGCTAAGGCAGTCACTGAGGACCAAAAGCACTTTTGAGAGGGAACCCTTAGGGAAAGGGGGTAGATCATGGAACCTCGGAGATGCTATGATCACAAGGCTCCTAAGAAGGGCATAGAGAATGGCTTTGGTTCCCGAAGTTTCCTAGCTCCATTACTTAGAAAGCCCAATTGATTTTTAACAACAGCTAAGTCCTTGAATTTTTTAAAAAAGAATTAAAAAAAATTTTTTTCCAATCACAGTTTACATTCCATATTATCTATTATTAGTTACAGGTGTACAGCATAGTGGTTAGACAATATATATAAAGTGTCCCCCCCATATGTCCAGTACCCATCTGGCACCATACATAATTATTACAATTTTATTAATTACATTCACTATTCTGTACTTTACATCCCTTCACTTTTTCATTGTCCCCCAACTCCTTCCCTTCTGGCAACGAGTCAGTTCTCTGTATCTATGAATCTGTTTTCAATTTTATTTTCTTTACATTCCACATATAAGTGAAATCATATGGTATTTGTCTTACTCTGACTGACTTATTTCACTCAGCATAACACTATCTGAGTTCATTCATGATGTCACAAATGATAAGATTTCATTCTTTTTTATGGCTAATACTCCACTTTATCTACTGTCTATTGATGGGCATTTGGGTTGCTTCCATATCTTGGCTATTGGAAATAACAATGAAAATAGGATACATATATTCTTCTGAATTAGTGTTTTGGTTAAAGTCCTTAAATTTCATGAGTGAGACTCATATATTACCTTTAAAATATATGTACACTCACCTTTCTTAAATAAGGTTCTATGTTTGACAACAAAAAAGCTAACTAAATTCACCCTCAATAAATTTTATTTTTCCAAACCATTTAAAGCAAAACATTAAGATTTTTTTGTTATACAGTTCTTACCTTATTCTTTCAGTAGGAGGTCCAGTATAGTGCAATGGATTGAGATATTCTCTGGAGCAAAATTTACCTACTTCATCCACCCAGTGACCTGTTAATGTTGGTGGACAAACCACCAAGGAAGGAAGTGGCATACATTCTGCTAATTTTGATCTTGCATATTCCTGTGCCCTTTAAAACAAACAAAATAATACATTAACCAGCTTGCTTGCATTTCTCTGCATCTAGAAGCTGCCTTTTATTTTTATATTTTAAGATTTTTATTTACCTTCAGAAATAAGGGAGAAAGTAAGGGAAAGAGACATCAGTGTGCCAGAGATACATTGATTGGTTGCCTCTCAAATGCCCCCAATTGGGGGCTTGGCCAACAATCCATGCATGTGCCCTGACTGGGACCTGAACCAGTGAGTGACCTTTTGATTCACAGGGCAGTGCTCAATCCACTGAGCCACACTAGACAGGGCTGAAAGCCTTCTTTTGAAATAATATTTAAAATTACCTGTGACAGTGATCTCCTGCTAAAATGCAGATGGACTGTAAAGTTTTTCCTAAACCCATGTCATCACATAGAATTCCATGAAGTTTATACTTATTAAGAAATGCTAACCAGTTCACACCATCCTGAAATATTGAAAGAGAAAATTATTTTTATAGGCATAAGAGAAATAAATGGGTATGAGACAATGGCCACAAGATTTTACTAAAAATCTAAACACTCTTTTAGGTACATTTGAAAGGAACAGTCACTATTTATATTTACAAGGTAAGTATAACCTTTACCTGCTGATATTTTCTCAGTTCAGCATTGATTGGTACAGGAATTTTGTAATTTTCTAATTTCTTCCCATCTAACAATTGCTCCAAAAAGTGTCGCTCCTTGGCTTTCAATTGGATTAATTCTTCTGACATATTTGGAGGGTCTGGAATGCCTGCCTAAAATGATTTTTTACAGTGTGTTAAAACCATTCACTCATAAATAATTTTTCATCATTACATTATACGATAATTTAGTCATCAAAATATAAATGCAGAGAAAAATGTAATTCAAAAATAGTATCATTTTAAAGACTGGAAGACAGAGTTTAATGAATTTGGCAGCTATCAAAATGCTACGATGAGACTACTAAACAAACACATTTGAAGTTTTTTAAAAAACACATCTACAGCTTAATTTTGCCCACACAGTGCATTACTTGATAAACAGGCAAATAAAGTTGCACAGTTTGTTTTCAGTGAAATACTGTTACTGGAGGTTCTTAACTTTAGTGTTATGATGTCCCAGTTTACTGGTTCTCAAAATGTGGGCTGCAGACCCCTCAGGATCCCCAAGACCCTTTCAAAGGGTCACTGAGGTTAAAACTATTTCATAATAAAAGACACTGTTTCCTTTTTTCACTGTGTTGACATTTGCACTGATGATACAAAAGTACTAATGGGCAAAACTCCTTGAACATCAGAAAGAATCAAGGCAAAGGCACCAAATAATACCACTAGTCTCTGTATTCTCAGTCATACACCAGCATTTTTAAAAAAGGTGGTTTCATTTAGGAATGCCCTTGTAGTAGTAAAAATAATTTTATGAAACCTCAACCCTGAATGCACATCTTTTAAACATTCTATGCAATAAGATGTGAAGAACATATAAAACACTTCTGCTTCCTATGCTGAGGAAAAAGCACTTGTGAGTTTGCTTCAACTGTGAGTTGACCTAGCCCTTTTTTCAAAGAACAGTATTTTACTTGACTGATAAACTATTGTTATTCTGAGTTGGGTATTTGGCTGACATTTTCTCAAAGATAAATTTGTCAATTCAAGGAAAACAACTGACATAACTTGTTGCCAATGACAAAATTCAAGCTGTCAGGAAAAACTAAGCACTGTGAACTTGACAGCTTCCCAATACTTAAAAGGAATTTTCTGTTGGAGACGTTAATTTGATTTTTTTGCTCCAGTATGGTGAAATATACCAACCTTTATGATAGTGTTTAGATTCTGTACTGCAAATAAATTTTTTAATGATTGTTCAAGTACGGTTTTCTGTCTTATGCTCCCATCCCAGCCCCTCCCCCAGTGCTCCCCACCTCCCTCCCATTTCCCCCCCACTGTAGTTTTTGACCATGTGTCCTTTATACTTGGTTCCTGTGAATCCTTCCCCTGAAATTCTCTCCTCTCTCCCCTCTGGTCCCTGTCAGCCTGTTCTGTATCTCAGTGTCTTTGGTCATATTTTGCTTGCTTGTTTGTTTTGTTGTTTAGGTTCCTGTTAAAGGTGAGATCATATGGTATTTGTCTTTCACCACCTGGCTTATTTAACTTAAACAAGCTTTCTCTTTTTAAGTTTTGATATGCCATCAGATAAAAGAATATCCACAATTATTTGGGAAAGTGGCCAAAATACTGCTCATTTTTCCAACTACCTATCTCTATGAGGCTAACTTTCCTTGTATACCTCAGTGCAAGGAACATACTGCAACAGACTAAATGCCCAAGGAAATACAGGAGTCCAGCTATCACACTACTTCAGGAATAAAAGAGATTTGCAAAATGTCAAATAATATGATTTTTCTACTAACTTATTTTTGTTTTAGAAAATAGTTACTTTTCATTAAAAATGTTAAGTATGGTAACATCTAATGGTTTATTATTTAAATAAATCAATAAATCCTTTCACATTTATCAGTTTTAATTTCTATTACAGAATATATGATAAACAAAAGCTCTTTGGGATCTTCAGTTTTTAAGACTATAGCCCTGGCCAGGTGGCTCACATGGTTGGAGCATTGTCCCATACACCAAAAAGGTTATGGGTTTCATCCCCAACCAGGGTACATACCCAGGCTGTGGGTTCAATCCCTGATCAGGGCACACACAGGCAACCAACTGATGTTTCTCTCTCTCTTCCCCATTCCCTCTTCCTTCCTCTCTAAAATCAATAAAATAAAACATAACAAGTGAGGATTTAAGAAAACTTTTTTTAAGAGTGTAAGGAGGTCCTCAGACCAAAAAGCGTGAGAACTATTGCCTATGCTGTCTCTAAGAAATGTAAAACTCTGGGGACAAAATTTCAATTAAATTAAAATGAAGTCCCATATAACACCAGAAATAGTATTGGTGGAGTGAGGTGTGTATACTGAGTCTTAAAAATGATTGCATGTTACATTTTTAAAAGGTTTCAGAATTTTAGTAAGATAGGAACTAACATTTTAGCACATCTAATGCCATGATAATACTAATCACAACGAGGCCTTTCTGTACACTACTTTACAAAGAAATAATGAAATCTTCAAACATTTATCCTCATGGAATTTTTAAGGTAACAACCAGATATGGTTGTATAACAACCATGTAACGAGATCCTTTTCTTTACAATGAAAACCTAAGCCCAAAAACCAAATATTGTTCAGTAACAGGAATGCTTCCTATGAATATCTTCCTCACTCCGATTCCTATAAAATCATCAAGAGTTACTAATAGTGCAGGTAATTAGGATTTCTGTCAGAATTGCTAGTTGATATTCCCGAATCCTTGATAGTATGTTTATATTTCAGAAAAGTACATGATTTTCCTATGAAGATGAAACAGAGGAAATCAAGATAAAGTAAACAGGAATGAACCTGCATGATATTGTTTCTATTGCTATGTCTTCAAACTCACAAATCTTTTCTTACACAGTATCCAACCTCCTATTAATCCCATCCAGTGTGTTTTTAGAGTCGTGCACTTTTAACAACAGGGATACACTCTGAGTAGTGCACCCTTAGGAACTGATGTTTCCTGCTGTGCAAACATCAAGTGCCCTTACACAAACCTAGCTGGTATAGCGTACCACACATGTAGTCTCTGCCTACATTTTTACGGTAGGCAATTGTAACACAATGGAATTTGTGTATCTAAACATAGAGAGGGCACAGTAAAAATATGGTGTAAAAGAGAAAAAATGGTACACCTGTATAGAGCACTAACACCATGAATGCAGCCTGCAGGACTGCAGGAAGTTGCTCTGGATGAGTCAGTGAAAGAGTACTGAGTACACGTGAAGGCTTGGGGCATTACTGTACATTGCTATAGACTTTATGAACATGGCCACACAAGCCCTCCTCTCCCTGCTTCCTTCTGACAGGGTCAGAATAAAAAACATTGACACTGTCAGTGCTGCTCCATTAATAGAGATTTGAGCTGAACTGACTGAAAACAAGGGGGAAATGCAGGGTAAAGCTAGATTACTCTAATATTGCCTGTTAGGAGGGAGTGAAAAGATTAGGAGGAATAAGAAATCAGCTAAGCTAGAGAGGTAAAGGAACACATGGGATTATAATGTCAATGAGGTTTTGGCTATTGCATGTTGGAGCAGTGGTCAAATTAAAAAATTTTGTAGTATTCATTTAAAAAGATGGTATTTAATATGGAGAGGGTGTAGAACTTAGGAGTATTTTGACTTCAGACATTTCTTTCTGGGTCCACGGACCCTATCTGGCATAATGGGTTCTCTGTGATGTTGCACTGATGAAAGAAATAGAATTTATCTACACTTCACATCATTGTAACCTGAAAATATTTCCAAAGTACAGGGACAGGTTGGCTCAACTATCACAAAAAGCTTTTATTAAAGTGGCAGTGGCACTTAATATTTGTTAAGGTAGTTCCTATGTACCTGTTCCCTTGTACAGGATCATAAGAACAAGAATTTACAGCAATGTACTCTGAAGACCACTGAGCCATAAGAACCTCTGGGACAACTTTAAATGTTCCAACATCTGAATCATAGGAGTGCTGGAAGGAGAACAAGAACAAGAAATCGAAAACTTATCTGAGCAAACAATGAAGGAAAATTTCCTCAATCTGGTGAAGGAAATAAGACTTCCAGAAGCCCAGAGAGTCTCAAAAAAATTTGGACCCAAGGGGGAACACACCAAGGCATATCATATTTAAGTTACCCAAGATTAAAGAGAAAATCTTAAAAGCAGCAAGAAGAAAGGAGAGAGTTACTTATCTACAAAGGAGTGCTTATAAGACTATTAGCTGATTTCTCAAGTCTTGCAGGCAAGAAGGGGCTGGAAAGAAGTATCTGAAGTCATGAAAGGCAAGGACTTATATCCAAGATTACTCTATTCAGCAAAGCTATTGTTTAGAATGAAAGGGCAGATAAGTGCTTCCCAGATAAGGTCAAGTTCAAGAAGTTCATTATCCCCAAGCCCTTATTATATAAAATGTTAAAGGAACTTATCTAAGAAATAGAAGGTCAAAAACTGTGAATAAAATGACAATAAACTTGTAACTACCAACAACTGAATCTAAAAAACAAAAACTAAGCAAACAACTAGAACAGGAACAGAACCAGAGAAATGACGATCACGTGGAGGGTTATCAGTGGGCAGAGGGAGGGAGAGAATGCGGGGGGGGGGGGCGAGGGGAGGGAGAAGGTACAGGGAATAAGAAGCAAAATTGGTAGGTACAAAGTAGACCAGGGGAGGTTGAGAATAGTATAGGAAACAGAGAAGCCAAAGAACTTATATGTACAACCCATGGACATGAATTAAAGGCAGTAGGGGAATGCTGGGGGGGGGGGAGGGTGTAGGGTGGCAGGGGGATAAAGAGGAGAAAAGAATTGGGACAACTGTAATAGACCAATTTAAAAATATACTTAAAAAAAAAAAAGACCATCAAGGCAGCTCTGAGAGGGCTGAAGTGCCCTCTGAATGACTATGTAGTGCTGGGGGAACAGGCTCCTCTGTGCTGAAGTAAGTGGCTCACTGAACGGGATGTAAACTGTGCACTCAGAACAGTTTACTGTGAGTGGGAGGGAATCTATTACCAAGTCCCACAGTTATTGCTCCCATTAGAGAAAAAAAATCCTCTTGAACCACATACACTTCCATTTCTTTCAGGAAATTTGGCTCTGTTATAATCTTATGGGACCACCATAAAATACGCAGTCTATTATAAACCAAAATGTTATGTGGCACATAAGTATTTGCGATTACATTTTTTATCTAAAGAAGTTCAGTTTAGGTTGTACTCACATCTTCTATTTTGCTCCTCATTGCAGTCATGCTACTTTCTTGAATATACGGAGTGTATTTTAATGTCCATGTCTACTAATTCTATTATATGGGCTGTTTCAGAGTCTGCTTCTATTGACTGACTTTTCTCCTGATTATTGGAAATATTTATATACCTAGTAATTTTTTCATGGATGTTAAACATCTTAAGTTTTACACTGTTGGATGATGGTGTTTTTGGTTTAAATATTTTTGGTTTTTCTTTTTCATGGAATATAGTTCAGTTAGTTGAAATCGACTTGATCATTTTAAGGCTTGCTTATATACTTCATTAAGGTGACTCCAAATCAGGCTTTTGTCAAGGGCTAATTTGGCCCCACTACTCAGGCAATATACTTCTAAGGACTGTACCTGATACTCTATATGGTAGGTCTTTTGGCTGAGTTTGGTGGGCGCACAAAGTATTCTCGTCCCGTGCAAGCTCTGGAAATTGTTCCACCTAGTCCTTTGTATGTTTTCCCCAGTCTCAAACATATATTCTCATACATATGCTCAGGCTTTGTGGGGACTTTCAGAGTTTCCCCTCTGCAGCTACTTCCTGTTGGAAGCTACTTTACATTGCACACTATTGCCATCTTGTCCTCCCTGCACTCTACACTCTGACTCTTGAACTTGGCAAGACCACTAGGTTCTGTTTAGGTTTCACCTTCCTGTTTGATGGCCTGGAAACACTCTAGGCAGTAAGCTAGGTAGTTCATTTGTTTCCCTTCTCTCAAAAATCACTATTCTGTGCTGCCTGCTGTTCAACATCTGAAAACCATTTTCATTCATTTGGTCTGGTTTTCTGGTTCAAGTCGGAGGATAAACCTGGTCCCTGTTTTCTATCATGGCTGGAATCAAAACATGCATCACATTTTTATAATTTTCAAAGGGAATGTTACTTTTCTCTATTTCTAAAGTCAATATCTCTTTTCTTTGCCTGTTATTAAGCACTATTTTTAAAAATAGTTTATACCCATTATCACCTTATAGTGTATCTGGGTTCTGACTTGATGGTAATTCCACTCTAATCCACATTCCAACAACTATTAAACTGATTTTTCTAAGACTGATTAGCTGTTATACTAGTTTTCCAAAAGCACTGCTTTTATCATTTCCTTTGCTCAAAGAACACATGATGGTTTCCCATCACTCATTGATTCCAAAGCTAAAAATGGACAAGGTAACTAAAAATAACCCATTTAGTTTACAGATAAAATAATGCAAGGACCAAAACTCAAATGATATAAATAAGACCTAGAAAGCAGAGGATGAAAACCTTTCTGGGTATGTCACTTGGGTCCTTGGACACAATAGAATTTTTTTTTTGGAGTCAAGCTGGTTAATATTTTTATTGTGAAATAAAATATCCATGTAGAGAAATATATAAACAAATGCTACAGTTTAATAAATTATAAAACAAACACCTTTAATAACCATTATCTGAGCAAGAAAAATAGCCCTGCCATCGTCCTGAAAGATCCCATATGTTCCTTCCCAGTGATAATTCACTCTGCTTTACCTAAGAGGTAACCACTCCACTGGCTTTCACTGCAATTTCTTTCTTACTTTTCCTTATACCTTTATCACCTAAATATCCATCCCATGAATTTTTGTCTTGTTTTTGAACTCCACAAAAACTGGAATCCTATGAAAGATTTCATTTGATATTGCATGTGTATTTTGTTCATTCTTATTGTAGTATAATAATACAGTTAACATATCTGCTCTACCAATAATGAACATTTGAGTGGTTTTAAACTACTAATGCTGTGATAAATATTCTTGAAGATGTGCTGTGCTACATGTGTATGAATGTAATGAAGCACATTTTTCTAGGGTATATACTGTATTTTGCCACATACATTGTGCTCCTATGGATAATGTGCATGCACATTTTTGTGTGCATTATACATGGGATTATTATACACATGGTATGTAATCATTATGCCTGTGTATAATACACATTCTTATTTTCCCTCAAATATTTGGGCAAAACAGCACACATTATAGATGGCAAAATACAGTAACTATGATGAATTTGCTGGGTCATTGGTATGGGAATTTTCATCTTTCATTTACAGCCAAACTTTTTTTAAAAGAGGCTAACTCATGTTCAAACTTTGCTGGTATGAATGTAAAATGGTACAGTTACTTTGGAAAATGATTTGGCAGTTTCTTAAAAATTTAAACATCATATGACCCAGTAATTCCATTCCTAGATAACTATCCGCTCAAAAGAAATGAAAGCATACATCCACACAAAGACATACAAATACATGGTCATAGTGTTACTTATAATAGCCAAAAGCCAGTAACAATCAAATGTCTAGCAACTGCTAAATGGATAAATAAGAGGTGTATGTCTATACAATGGAGTACTATTCAACCATACAAAGAAAGTACTGATGCACAGACAATATATGGAACACTGACATCCAGTTGGTCCATTACACCCGAGTAAGTTATTTAAAAAATTTCCAAATGGTTCTGAGATAGATGTTTTGATACACAAGGTCTATCCAGAAAGTATCCAGCCATGTAATATGAAAAAGAGATGATACAAGGAATGTGATGCCTCAGTCCCCTTCAAAGTAGGCACACTGGCACCTCACATAGTTCTCCCAGTCACCACCGGCTGCCCTGTTGTATTTTCCTGAATCTCACTGATGGCCTGAAATCTCTCGCCTTTCAAAGGTGATTTTAGTTTGGGGAAAAGCCTGAAATCACAGGGCATCAAATCTGGGCTGTAGGGGGGCTGAGTCACCTGGGTGATTTTATGTTTCATCAAAAACTCTGCATAAGATGTGGTGTGTGAGTGGGCACACTGTGATGAAGCTGCCAATCACCAGTTGCCCATAGCTGCAGCCTTCTGAATCATTCAAACAGTTTCCAGGGAGGAATGTTCAAGCTTAATGCAAAATCTGATAGAGATTCATGGCTCTACTCACTCAGTCATTTTGAATGTTATGGCTACACCGTATATACGCTCACTCAACAACATCTACTGTCCTCACTGAGAAGTACAGTGAAGTTGTCATTGTTCACACATGCACATTACATCCAGTCCACTGTCCTTAGTGGCCAAATTACATCAACAGAGCACAAACCATTCTTGTTAACAATGGTTGGACTTTTACCGGGCAGATCTCATATAATATAACATGAACTGCACATCTACTTATTTCCTGAAATACAAAAATCCCACCAAAATATTTTAAGAGGCTTGGTGGCAGAGTTCTGGATCTTGCCTTGCTTTAAGCCACTACATCCTGTATTGGCCACATACGTATTTCTGCTTCATGAGAATACTCCAAAATTCTCCAACTTCAGCCCTTCTAATCTGCTTTCTCCATACTTCCACAGAGACTTCAATTGCTTTACATTTTCAATTACCATCTCTCAAATTTACCTTTCATGTAAACATCAGCACAGAATCTTTACATGGGTGTTACAAGGATACTTAGAAACAATTCTATTTTTAGAATAGTATCAATGAATTATTCATTTGGAAATCATAGTTTTACTTAAAACCTTGTTTTTAAAAATTTATCCATTGAAATATAAATTTCTTAATGCTTATAACAAACATATTCAACATTATTTTTGAAAAGCTGACATTCTTTAAAAAGAATTATAATTATGGTGAAGTTATAAAAAATATTAAGTCCATAAGCCAAGTATCTTCCACTTACCTCAAGTGGCATGAGTCTAATTAGTGTTGCAAAGCACTGTGTAGCCATGAATCTTACACTGTCTGTCTGATCACTCATTCTTCCCAACACCGGCACAACTAAAAGGACAATATATGGAACAATACCAACATCCAATTGTTCCATTACACCTGAGTAAGTTATTAAGGAAATTTCCATGTGGTTCTGAGGTAGATGTTTTCACACACTGATACACCAATATTGTATGTTCTAAAACAGTTCCTCATTTGTCTGTGATTCATTTATAACAGCATTTGAACACTGCTGCTCTTTTGTAAACATCGTGTAATTTTCCCATGATTGAGAACATAAAGATGTTGCTGGTGTGGCTCAGTGAATTCAGTGCTGGCCTGCAAACCAAAGATCACAGGTTCAAGCCCCAGTCAGGGCACATGCCTGGATTGTGAGACATGTCCCCAGTTGGTGTGCAAGAGGCAACTGATCAATGCATCTCTTGCACATCAATGTTCCTCTCCCTTTCTCATTGCCTTCCCCTTTCTCTAAAAATAATAAATAAAATATTTTTTAAACTGATAAGAACAGGTACTATAAACCTGATCTTAGCGAAAAGGTTGAGAAATAATGAAATATTTTTAAAGGAAGAATATAAAATCATGTTTTCATCTAAGGCAAGCTGGAAAAAGTTTTACAAATAAGATTTTTTCTATTCCTATACGTTTCTAGACTATCAATACCAAAATAAAATGAGTTAAATTACACACACGGAACACAACACTCTAATTCCAAAATTCATCCCAAAATCATGACAATCATAAACTGGAAAGCAGGCCAAGTAAGTTCAATTCTCCTGTAATCTTCAGCATTTTGGAACCTGATTTTCTCCTGACCTGATTTCCACCCATCTCTCCTGCTCTTAGAAATGTCTTTCATGGATATTCTCCAAGATGGCAGCCAGGTAAACACGCCTCGCATACTCACACAACCACATCAAAATTACAACTAAACTACAGAACCATCACTCAGAACCACCAAAAATCAAGCTGAATGGAAGTTCTACAATTAAGGAATTAAAGAAGAAACCACATCCATCCAGACTGCTAGGAAGGGTGGAGAGGCAGAGTGGTGGAATGGTATGGTCCCACACCCACGTGTGGTGGAAAAACATTGGAAGGACTATCTTGGGAGTTAGAGGTCCCAGCCCTACACTAGGCCCCCCAGCCTAGGGTTCCAGAACCAAAAAGATAAGTCCCCATAACTTCTGGTTGTAAAAACCAGTTGGATTGAGTCACTGGAAGACTGTTGGATTTCCAAACAGTTCCTGTTTAATGCCACATGCACAGACTTAGACTCATTCCTTCTGAGCTCCAGCACTGGGGCAATAGCTTGACAGGCATACAGGGAAGAACTGAAATGTCTGGCATGTAGGCAAGAGCTGGGAGACAGCTTTCTTACTGGGAGAGGCCACTGTTCCTTTTCTGAACCCTTCCCATACAGAGCCACAGAGCAGCAGGCACTATATGAGAATCCACCATACTGTCTGACCTTCCCTGGTGATTCCCAGGGGTCCTGCTGCACCCCACTTACAGACTGACCCAAGCTATTAATAGTGACTTTTCCATACACATTTCTTGGCTCATGCTTCAAATCAACCTAGATCCTCTCAAACAAGCAGCAGCTGGTCTCAGCAGCCCCTGTACCTCTTGCTAAGTGGCCCCAGGCCTGGCACTATAAGCAGCTGGCCTTGGTTCACAATCTGGCCATGCTTGGGCATCACCAAGCCCAGCACAAGTAGCAACCATTTGCATATTGCTTTATAGTTTATGCCAAGTGACCCTAGATAGAATACAGGCAGTGGCTGACCTTGGCCCACACCTCCCAGAAAAGCCCCATAGCCTGTACACCCAGTAGACAGCTACAGATCATGTCAGAGTACCACCACCCAACCACCTCCACAAGCAACACACCCAAGGGGTGGACTCAGTGGGCACCAGAGCCCTGCTGAAATAAGTCCTGCTTTGTTCTATCCTGCATAGCTGATCTTCCACAGAGGGAAGTTGGTGGTCAGTGGTCACAGCCAGTTCTTGCAGCTGACCAGCCTGAATAAATCCCTCCCACTGACCTGTCAACAGCAATCAAGGCTCAACTATAAGAGGAGGGTGTACTCAGCCTAGACAGAGGGCTCACCTTGAGTACCCAACTTGGGTGATAGGGGAGGCTGTACCACTTGACCCTACAAGACACCTGCTACATTAGGCAATGCTACCAAGACAGGGAGTAGTAGCAGCTCTACCTAATACACAGAAATACAAGAAGCCTTCCAAAATAAGAAAACAAAGAAACATGGCTCAAATCTCCAGATCAAAACTCCAGAAAAAGAACTAAACCAAAGGGAGATTATATCTCAGATGCAGAGTTCAAAACACTGATAAGGATGCTCAAGGAACTTAGTGAGTACCTCATCAGCATAAAAAAGATCCAGTCAAAACTGAAGGATATACTAATTGAGATAAATAACAATTTACAGGAAAACAACAGTAGAGTGGATGAAGTAGAGAATCAAATCAATGATTTGGAACATAAGAAAGAAAAAAACAACCAATCAGAACAGCAAGAAGAAAAAAGAATCCAAAAAAAATTAGGATAGTATAAGGAGCCTCTGGGACAACTTCAAGCATTCCAACATTTGCATCATAGGGGTGCCAGAAGAAGAGCAGCAACAATTGGAAACTTATTTGAAAAAATATTGAAAGAAAACTTCTCTCATTTGGTAAAGAAAACAGACAAGTCCACAAAGAATAGAGGGATGAACAGAGTCCCAAACAAGATAGACGCAAAGAAGCCCACATCAAGACATATCATGATTAAAATGCCAAGTTAAAGATAAAGAGAGAATCTTGTCCTGGCTGGTGTGATTCAATGGATTAAGTGCCAGCCTGTGAACCAAAAGATTGCCAGTTCAATTCCCAGTTGGGGCACATGCCTAGATTGTGGATTGACCCCCAGTTTTTGGCACATGAGAGGCAATTGCACATTGATGTTTTTCCCCCCTCTCCCTCCCTAGCCATCTCAAAATAAGTACATTTTTTTAAAAAAGAGAATCTAGCCCTGGCTGGTGTAGCTCAGTGGATTGAACGCAGGCCTGCGAACCAGACAATTGCGGTTCGATTCCCAATCAGGGCACATGCCTGGGTTGCAGGCTGGTTCCCTGCAGGCCAGTTCCCAGCAGGGGATGCACGAAGGGCAACCATATATTGATGTTTCTCTTCCTCTCTCCTTCCCTTCCCCTCTAAAGATAAATATATAAAATCTTTAAAAAAATCTAAAAGCAAGAGAAAAGCAGTTAGTTACCTACAGAGAATTCCCATAATACTGTCAGCTGATTTCTCAAAATAAATTTTGTAGGCTAGAAGGGATTGGCAAGAAATACTCAAAATTATGAAAAGCAAGGACCTGCAACCAAGATTACTCTACTCAACAAAGCTATCATTTAGAATTGAAGAGCAGATAAAGAACATCTCAGGAGAGAAAAAGCTAAAGGAATTCATCATTACCAAACCACTATTATATGACATGTTAAAGGGACTTATTTAAGATCAAAACTATGAACAATATGATGGCAATAAACAGGTATTAACAATCAAACCTAAAATATAAACTAAACAAAGAAGCAGAACAGAAACAGATGCATAGATACGTAGAACAATGTTTTGATGGTTGCCAGAGGTGAGGGGTTCTCGGAAGGGGTGGAGGTATTGGGAAGTACAAGTAGGTAGTTACAGAATAGTTATTGGGATGTAAAGTACAGTATAGAAAAGGGAATAGCTGAAGAACATATATGCATGACCCACTGACATGAACAATGGTGTAAGGTTTGCTTAAGGAAGTGGGGGGTACTGGGTGAAGAGGGGCAAAGGGGGGATAATTGGGCCAACTGTAATAGTATAATCAATAAATATATATTTAAAAAGAAATATGCTTCAGGTACCTCATGTTAAAGATTGTAAGTGGATGCCAGACCCTTTTAGCAAATAGCTTGCCTATATATTACTAGTAATTTAGTACATGCAGTCATATTGCATACAATTAATGAACCAACTCAGGAAACAATGTTTTTTTAATACGAGAAACTAAAAAAAAAAAAGAAATTGTTATCTGGAGGGTAGGCCCCTTATTGTACAGGCTTCTCCTGCTAGGTGAGTGTTCTAGGAACCCATCTGTAGCAGTATACCAGCTGGTGTTGTTATGAGAGGCTGCATTTGGCTGCAGTGAATTGTTTTTGAAGACTCTTTCGATACATCTGCCCATTTCATGGTGGGTGATTTATGAGCACACCTGCCACACTGCACTGAGTGTTGGCAGTTTCTGAGCAAAAACAGCATTACCCCTTACCCCACCCTCCCTATTCACCTCATCTTGCCCCAAGCAAGATGTTTTTGTTTTGCCCCAAGCAACACTTTTTGGTTTTCTCAGGTGAAAAAAGTACTCAAAGGGAATGTTCTGCTAATGTGGAAGAGGCAAAAAAAAAAAAAAAAAAAAGAAGAAGAAGAAGAAGAATAAGCACTAAAAGGTATCAAAATCAGTGAGTTCAAAAACTACTTTGAGCATTCCAAAAAAAGTCTCAATAGATTTATTGCCTCAAATGGAAAGTATTTTGAAGATGACTTAAAGTTTAAACATGTAAGAATACACAATTTTTTATAAAGAAATTCTGGGGTTTTTTGCCCCCCCGCCCAAGGACTAGCTATATAGTATCTGATTAATATATATTTTAAATATTTTATTTACTTATTTCTTTATTTTTTAGAGAGAGGGGAAGGAAGGGAGAAAAAAAAGAGACATTATTGTGCAAGAGAAACGTCAACCAGCTGCCTCTCACACACCCCCAACTGGGGACCTGGCCTGCAACCCAGGCATGTGCTCCAACCAGGAATCAAACTGGTGACCTTCCAGTTCGCAGGCTGTCGCTAAATCCACTAGCCACACCAGCCAGGGTGTATCTGATTAATATTAATAAGAGATTAATTATAAATGAAATAATTCAATTACTAAATATAGTTCACACAGTATATAAAATTATTTTTGCCTATTAAAATTTTGATTTCCTTAAGTAGCAATTCTTCAAACTTTTTGTGTAAAAACCTCCAATGAAAAATATAAACATCCTTCAATGTATTTATAATGTAAAAATTACTTCAAAATAAAATATAAAGTCATTTTCTCTTTCGAACAAGGCAGATTATTTATGTGCATATTTGAATAAATCAATTTTATTTTAGTCATCCTTAAGTAAAATGAATATAATTGATGAATAGTTTGTCAAAACAAAAAAGGATACAGGCAAGTGCTTCAATTGCACCCTCTTGCTTGATATTGTCATCAATTGCTCCCAGCCATGGAAGAACCTTCTCCAAAAAAATACTCATTGTTTCCATGGTAGCTATTTTGCTCATGATCCCCACACAACGAGCAGCCATGTGTCTCACTGCAGTGCTGGGGTACTGAAGGCACATATAAAGATGAGGCAAATGCTGTACCAACTAAAAACAGAAAGTTTAAGACAATCAGAATACTCATTGGGGAAACTATTTAAAATATACCTCCAATTACCTCAAAACATTACTGTCAAAGCATCCTCAATAAAAAATTAATCCAAACTAAGGTATTATTAACTCTTTTCAAAAGGTGCAGAACTTCCCTGCTTGGTATCCTCTCTTAGGTATTAGAGAACATACAATTCTTTCCAGAATTAACAGGGAATACATCAAAAGGTACTTGGCAAGACTCTCCTACTGAGGCTAAGAAAATGATACCACATATCACCAGCTCCTTTCAAATCTGGTAGCTGTGGCTTGGATTTAAGTACATACTTTTTATTCACTAGGTTGAGTGGATCCTGATTTTGCTGTAGGGACCACAATTTGATAGGTGTATTTTCCACTCTGACTTCCTGGCTTATTATAGTCTTACAACTATATTGGCATGATATATCCCATTATTAAACGTATGCTGCAGGATTAGTGTTGATAAGAACCAGGTACCTGCACAACACAATAGCCTTACAATTCAGGTGAATGCAGGTTTTTTGTGGATGGATTCTGTCCTTCTTTACTAATGATAAATCATAGAAATTTAAGAAGCTAAAGAACATACTTTATTAGTGTCTAAACAGAAAAAGTTTATTCTTCTCTACTCTCCCCTAGATTCTCCCTTTTATATTAGCTACAGAGAACTGGATTTAAAACCCTATAAATTTCAGAGAGCTTCCTATTGCAGCTATGTAGGGAAAAAATGATACATTTTACATGAAGAAGCCAGATAATTCTCTATAGTCTTCCTCCTTCTGTCCCAATTTTTTGTAAGAAATATTTTAATAGTCAAAAAATACAAATTAGTGTTCTAGCTTTGCCAGTGACTAGTTTCATCTTGTTCAGATAACTTCCTTCTACATTTACATATCTCTTAGGAAGATGTTTTATTATCCATGACCTTCCTTTCTTAAATCTATATTAAGATGGTACAAATGAACAGGTCACAGCTTTCTTTCTTGTGTACAATCAGCATCTCTGTCATCAGAGACCTGTCCCTACTACCCTGTATTCAAAGATCCCAGAGTGGATTTTTCTATCATTTATGCACTCAACTCTGCCTCAAATCCCAGAAAAATTGTGCTGTCAGTAAGGAAGGAATCTAGATATACCCTACAAAATAAAATGGAATTGCTAGGGATGATATCAAGTTGCATTTTTCAAGCCATAAAACCACTTGTTTTAACAGAAAAAAAATACACTTCACATTAGTTAATTACCAAGGGATGAAGCTCAGAATCCATTGATGCTGCTGCTATTTCAAAAACTTGCAGAGAATTCACCAATTCTTGAGCAGGGCCGTCTCCCTTTTCCAGGAGAGATTTTCCATCTATTAAAATACATTGATTTAAGTGCATATCACCTTGCAAATAAGTTTACAAAACCTAGAGCCCACAAAAAAATGTAGCACCTTCTCAACTACCATGGGGACAGTCTATTTTGCTTTTTTGGTGTGAAAATGCTATGCCTTTAATTTAAGTGTTGAGGTACACTTAAAGCAACTAAAAAAGTTCAACATAAGGATCCATTTCAAATATCTTTCTAAATATGTAATAGAAAAAATAAAAATAAAAAAGAAAATGAAAATAAATGCTTTTAACTAACCTTCCATTTTAAAACTTATCATTAAGTCTAAGATAAACAGGTATTAGCATTTTTATTTTATAATATGCATGTAATAAATATATACTGACATTTGTTAAAAACCCAACTGAGAAAAACATGTACAAACCAAAATTATTTATATCAATTGTGTTTCTCAATGGCCCAACCATAGCATCCCAGAGATGTGGCAACTTCACTGCCATTTCACCACCAAAATGCTTCACTATAGTTGTCAACGCAAATTCAGCTCCTCTTCGTTGTACCAGGTAAGGTTTCTGGGCCTAAAATTAAATGTTGTTGAAAAAAGAATTTCAGAAAAAAGTATAATGCGTTTTACATTTTATGAAGAAACTATAAAAGTAACCATCTAAGAATACAATGTTACTTACCAATAACCAATTAAATAATTACTGAATATATTTATTACAATTATACATACTTCTCAAAAATTAAATTTATAGTGGCATAAATTCCAAACTAGATTTTTTTAAATGTCCAAAATCAAATACTGCTTTGGGTTGGGAATAAGCAATAGTTTTGTCCCTACCCCAAAGAAACTTAACCTCTAAAGAGAAAATTATGAGATAAAATGATATGCCCTTATTCATATTTGCTTAAGGGAGAGAATAAGAGCATCTGTTTAATCTACATAAGATTAATAACCTCTACCTAGCAATAATTTTACTATAATTAAATACAAAAAAAAACTGTTTCCCCAGAAAGATAAATATTTTACAAATTATTTTCAAGTGGAAGAACTATGCAAACCACACAGGTATACATATAAAAAACACAGAAGAATATAATTAGTGAAAAAGCCTTCATTCATAGAATATTTTAAAAGAAACAGACAATAAGCTAAGTTTTGATTTTAAAAACTTAAATACACCTATATTTTATAAAAATATATTAAATATATGGCTTCTAACATTGACGATTTAGTGCTGAACTCAGGTAAGTTCCTATACCTTGCAACCAAAAGAGCTCTAGAGCATTCATTCCACTGTCGGTAATGTTGCTGTAATATTTTTAAAAACCACTTTTATCGTCTTTAAAAAATATTTACTATAGAATAAGTAGACCGATTAAACAGAATAGAAAGCCCAAATAGATCTTCATATTGTATACACTAAAGCATGATATGTAACAGAGATACCATTATGAGTCAATGAGGAAAGGATTCAATAGTGGGATAACTGGCTATTCATAGGAGAGAATAAATTTAGGTCCCTACCTCACAACACACATTTAATAAATTCCAGGTTGACTGAAAGGGAGATAGGTGACAATTCTCTGACACTTAAAAACTTATGCTCTGAGTATTAAGAATAATTCCTGACACTGATAGTACTGAGAAAAATCAGCTTCCATTGTTATTTAACATCTCCAGTCAGTGCTCTAGGAGTGAATTAGTTTATACTTATGAATGACTTATGTACCAAGAGGGTTTCTTGCCTACAGAGAGATAATCAAAGTTAAGCTGATAAAAATTTGAGGCATGAGAAATCTGAAGAAGCTTGAAGTTTTTCTTGACCATATTGTTGTATTCCAAAATGTTTTAATCCCAGTTCTTTTACTTAAAAAGTAAAAAAAATACAATTCTAAAAGCTGATATGACAATTAACAATTTAGCTCTCAATCTGAAAGACATTTGTTTAAAAAGAAGAGTGTTCAGCCCAGCTGGTGAGGCTCAGTTGGTTGGGTAGCATTCCACAAAGCTAAAGGTCACCAATTTGATTCCTGGTGTTGTCTGTTCAGTTCCTGGTTGGAGCACATTTGAGAGGCAACTGATCAATGTTTCTCACCCTCTTTCCCTTCCCTTCCCCTCTCTCTAAAAATAAATAAATAAAATAAAATAAAAAACCCACCAACAACAGAGTATTCAAAGAAAAAACTACTTACCTCATCAAGTTCTACAAGGATATTTCCACTACTTCCTGCAGGAAGATCTGCTATTTGAGCTTTCACTGCTTTGGGGGTAGGACCTCGCCTACTTGTGATAGCAAAGGCAGCTTTCTGATGCCTGTAGAGTGTGATTATACCTCTGTGCTTGGTGACAGTATGGTGCATTCCATCTTTTTCAGAGTTGGATCCTAATAAGGAAAAAAGGTAAACTTTTATGCATATGTGACCAAATGCTTCCTGCTCAAAAAACAACATATTTTAAATCTATGTCTTTGAAGCCTCAATTTTTATAGGCCAAGAACATCTCCTTTAGACAATGAAATGGTAATAAAATTGTCAGTAATTTAGAAAATTAAGTTAAGTGTTTTAATATCTGCATAAGTTCATACTTGATACAATCAAAGTTGTAAGATCATGTAGTAAGAACTATCATGTGGAAGAATAATTGTACCTTCAACTATATTTTTAAAAATATATGTTCCTAGGTATAAACAGTAAAAAAACACTGCAAGAAGGTTCTCTATAAGAAATATCCATAGTTATCATGAATTCAGAAACACTGACAGTACTGCTGCCTCTTACAACACTGAGGTTTGGGCTAGGGACTGGAGTCATCCTATCCCTGTTTTACAATGTTGGTATTCAAAATGTCCACTGTGTTCCTCTTCCAATTCACTCAAAAGTATTTTCAACATGTATATTGTGCCCAACTTGTAAGTCTATTATCTTTTGAATATAATAAATAAATAGTATAGGACTAAGGGGTGTGAAGAAACATTGACCTTTGAGACTAGCCTGGAGAGCAGTTCTTGTTTTTCATATAAATTCTCCAGATGAAAACAGAAACTTTGGTTAAGGGTTATTTGCTAAAGGTAATAGAATTCACTTATTTCATAAACATATAATTAGAGAAACCAGAGTTTTATAGGAAGAACTTTAACATTTGATATTATTAAGTTTTCTACCCCACTCACAGTAAACCCTATAATGATGATCTTGAAATGGAAGGGTTAACACCCATCTGAGATTTCAGTCATCTTTATATATCAGGCCTTTTATGAACAGCTAATTTGAGTTTAGAGGGTTGTGATTTGATTAGCAGTATGTGCAAATTCTCTTAAAATGGGAAAAGCTCTAACATAAATAAGATGTGTGCTTAAAGTGTACTTATAAGTAAATAGTTTAGATATATACCTTTGGAATTTTCCTGGCCACTTTGTGTTGGTACTGGACATGTAACACAAGGAGTTAGATAGGGGTCCACACAAAGCGAGCTACAAAGGTTTTTAACAATTTTTGAATTGGGACAGGGTGTCCTCGTTGTGCACTGCTGGAGTAGTCTGGCTATGGACTGAGCCGCATAGTTTTGCACGAGTGTATTTTCTTCCTTTTTAATTGTCTCCATTAAAGGTTTTATGATAGGATTTAGTTTCTCTGGAAGCTGCTGCAAGCTCACAACTGCACATGCAGCAAAAGTATGCACTCTCAACTGCAACACTTGCCACTCCTGGTTGGTCTCTGTAATTGTCATTTGGACCTGCTGTCGTTTACTATCTAACTGCTGTGACACTTGAAGATTTAATTCAAAAGACGATGTGACTTCATTAAAAACAGTAGTGACCTAGTAAAAAAAGAAAATAAAATCATTAATGACATCAACCCCAAAGTGGCTCATAAACTCCTTAAGGGCACACAGCAAGCTTTCTGTTTCAATTTTAAGTTTCTCAATATCTGGTATTATTTTAGTATTCCGTAAACTAAATAAATTTCTAAAAGTCCCAACTACATTTTAATCTGACTTAAAATTAGCATTATATTCTTTAAGAAAGACACAATCTCTTGAGAAAAAAATTATCAATCCCTTATATATATCTAATAAGTTTGAGAGAAAATTACATTCAACATCCCCACAGTACTTCAGTCAAATAAGAAAGCTGTAAGCAAATATAAACTAACTGTTAATTAAGGAATAGCAAAACTCACAAACTTCCTCTTAGAAAACAAATATTCTTCTCAAAAACTTTTAGGGTAGCTGTGGCTTCCCTTCCAGTAAAAAATGTTCAAATAATGGGGTGGGGGGAAGACAGGGGGGAGAAGGGTACAATCGTCATTAATTCTTTAATTATCAAGAACTGCCTAAAGTTGTAAGACTGTGGCATCAGACCATTTCATAAACCCCACTTAAAAGACTGTTTTTAACAATATTATTCACATATAATTCACATACAATACATCCATTTAAAGTATACAATTCAATGGTTTTGACTATATTTAGAACTGTGTAAACATTGCCACAATTTTAGAACATTTTCATCATTGCCAATATAAAACTCATACCTATTAGCAATCATTCCTCGTCTCCTCCAGCCTTATCTAACCATTTATCCACTTTCTATCTTTATAGATTTGCCCATTCTGGACATCTCATATGAATGGACTAATACAACATGTAATCTGTAGTGACGAGTTTCTTTTATTTAGTATAATGCTTTCATGATTCACCAATGTTGTAGCATGTATATGAGTTCTTCATTCCCTTTTTTGCCAACTAATATACCAATACATGGATATACTACATTGTATTTATCCATCCACTAGTTCATGAACATCTGAGTTGCTCCCACCTTTTAGCCATTATGAATAATATTGCTACAAATATTTATGAACCTATTTTTATGTGAGTATGCTTTTTAACTACCATGTAAAGATTGGGTAATGGCTTACATAACAAAAACCGTCTCTTGTTTGACAGGTAACTGTAATCATAAAGAGGTTCCATAAATAGATCCAGTCTGATCAATATGGGCCAGAAAAGCCTGTAACATTGAAGAACCTACAATTTTTTTAATGGAGAACCTAACTGTTCATACTTAGAAATGATTAATTCCATTATGGACAAGGCTGATAATGCTGGCCCCTTATTATGAAAATCAAAACAGGCACACAAATAAGACCTTCTTTTATCATTATGAAATACCACCAAAGACTTAAAATTAAGCTATATCTGCTTGATGTCAATCTGGTCACTGCTAAGGAACATGACCACATACCACTGTTTTATTTATTCAAGGTCTGAATAAAATTTATTTGAAACAGGGTTTCACTGCTAGCAGTTTGAGAACACTGTCATAAATACACTATGCTTCTGTCTAGGCAACTGAGGAAAGTTTTCCAGTTATCTCAAATTCACTGACATTCCTTCGTTCAACTAATATTTATTGAGTATACTAAAAGATGTCTTTACACATTAAAAAAATGCACAGACTTATGTGAAAGACAGATATATAAGAAAACACTTAAGATGACATAAAATATAACCGAGGTAAGTGTAAATTGCTGTGGGCGCATGAGTTGCATAACTCTTTCTTGGTGACAAGATTAGTGGAGGCCTGCCAGAAGATTAACACCGGTGCTCGATTTTTAAAGAAGGAGTGACCAGAAGGGAGAGGGGAGGGAATTTCAGGGGGAAAGGAGAAGGGTTTGCAGGAACAAATTTAAAGGACACATGGACAAAAAGAAGGGGGGGTGGAAATGGGAGGGAGGTGGGGAGAGCTGGGGAGTGGGATGGGAGTAAAAGACAGAAAACTGTACTTGAACAACAATAAAATAATAAAAAGTAAAGGACAGCTGTAGGGACATCTTGGCAAACAGCGAGTTAGGGAGTGGAAAGTGGGACATTTGTCTAAGGAACTGGAAACAGCTTATCTTGTCCTGAGCACAGGGCACAGATGGAGGAATGTCAAGAGATGAACTTGGTGTGAGCACAGAGGGTTGAGGTAGGAAACTCCTGGCAAAGGAACTAGGAGCTCAAGAAAAGAAGTGAGAACAAGTGAGACCCAGAAAGTGAGTGTGGTCTATTTTTCTGCAAGAGGAAAGCTAACTAAGTTTAAGTGGAGGATGCCTAAGAAATAATGACGAGAAAAGAGATGAGAAATTTAAAGAAGGTGCTGAAAGTAAGGAAAAAAAAGAACTAAAATCAAGAAAAAAGAAAATACTGTTTCTAAGCAGGGGAAAGATGCATTCAGAGTGGCACTAGAAGACTTTACCACCTGGCACAGCATCCAGAATGAAACGAACCAGAGGCTGCCTGGAGGCTAAGAGATATGTTAGGATCTAGTCATAAAGTACTAAGTCCTTTGACTAAGTTGTAGCAATGGAAACCAAGAAAGGATAAATATATGAGACTTTTTTCAAGAAAATGTTAACAAAATTTCTGAGTGTGGATAAAAGTGGCATTTTTCTATTTAAAAAAATCCAGTTTATGGTTGTGTTAATTTGGAGTGACAATGAGATATCCGAGTAAAAATGCCCAATATAAGAACATAAAAAAGATCAAGAGAAGAGAGCGTATGGCACATGGACAGGAACCAAATTGTGAGAATGGTGAGAGACAAAGAAAGACCATAAAGAAATGCCTATATTTGAAAAAAATACGGATTTGATGAAAGATACAGAGGGTAGGGACTCTCAGCCAAGGCCAAGATTAAAGTTTTAAAATTTCCCTTCCCTCGATGTACTGAAAATAGTAGAAGCTAGGCCAATGATCTATGAACTGTTAACTGAAAGTTGGAGTTCGAAGACTAACAAAGCAAAAACCCTTGCCATGAGGGCAACAAAAAATTGAGGAAACTGAAGAACCAAGGTTGATCTGTTACAACTGGGATGATAACCTAAGACCACCCCACTGAAAATCTCCAATCTTTTACAAAAACCCAGAAGTGAGGAGTGTGCATGGATGCTGAATGTTTGGGCTTTCCCAAACAGGATGAGTGAGGCTTGAAAGCACACCACAGTGAAAGTCCAGCCACAGCAGCAGCTGCACCTGCAGTTGCCAGCAGCAACGCTGTTAGTAAGCTAAGTAAGCACTCACTTTACAGAAAACCATAATGCTGGCCATCTTGGAAGAGAGGAAAAAACGATGAATTTACTTGCTTAAAAAAAAAAAGAAATTATCTCTTCCCAGGAGAGGCTTCTTTTCTGTCTTTTGGTCAGTGTTGAATGGAATGACTAGTTTGAAAGAGAAGGAGAAACTAGTTTCAACTGTAGCACTCTGTTATAAAAGGCAGCTTGGCCTTTGCGACCAATAAGAAAGATGGAGCCTAGGTCTCGAGCCCACCCTTGGTGTACCTTACCACAGTACTGTATATGTGCTGGCTAAAAAGTGGGTGCAGAATTCTTTATAGTCTAAGAATGAGTATGTGTGTGAGGTAGGTGGTATCCACATTCTCGACTTCAAGTCATTGTATTTCTTTTTTTGAGAAAAAAGGGGTTAGACATTGCATTTCATAAAACTAAGGTGTGCAAGAGGCAACCACACACTGATGGTACTTTCTCTCCCTCCCTCCCTCCCTTCCCTTCTCTCTAAAAAGGAAAAAAAAATCTTTTTTAAAAAGGAAAAGCAAAATAAAATAAAGTAAAATTTCCCTTTCCTCAATACTCTTCCACAGAGTCTGATATCCCAGGTTAAAGCAGCTGAACTAATAAAGTAGCCGAACTAAAAAATTTGATGGAACAGAACAGTGATTTCACTAGTGAGTAAGAAGTCTCAATAACAAAAGCTTTTTAAAAAGAAAAGTTGCCAGAGACAGCAGTACAGGAACCCAGACCATAAAGAAATTTTGACATTTCATTCAAGGCAAACAACAACAAAAAAAAGGGACGTGAAAAAAGAAATTACAGAAAAACTTTTTATAAAAGAACACAGAAAAAATTAACAATTTTAGATTTCTATCACTGGTAAGAACACAAAATTCAACTATATTACTTTTTAATTAGAAAGGGGGATAAGAAATGAAGATTGCTATTTCACAGGGATGAACACAAGTGAGTGGCTCAGTTTCTAATCCTCTAAGTAAAAAAAAAAAAAAAAAAAAAAAAAAAAAAACGAAAACAGAAATACTCATTTACACAATCTAACTGACCTCAAAGTAAGACTTACTACATACAGAAAGCTATAATAACCAGACACTGGTGATAGCATAAGGAGAGACAAGTAGATTGAACAAGTAGAGCCTGGACAAAGAACCACACTTCAACAAATTTTTGACCAAGGTGCCAGAGCAATTCAATGGGGGAAAGGATGCTGGGAAAAAATAGAAAAACTGGGTAACTTTATGGAAAAAAAAACAAAAACACCAAAATCCAAACTCTACTTCACACTACACATTCAATATGGATGAAAATCTAAACATACAAGCTAAAACTGCAAAGTTTTAAAAGAAAATGTGTGTGAATACCTTCACCACTTAGAAATGGCACCTTAGCAGATCACAGAACACAATAACCATAAAACACTGATAAATTAAGACTTCTTCAAAATAAAAATATCTGCTCATCTAAAGACACCATTAAGAAAATGAAAAGGGACTTCTGGCCAAGATGGAGGCATAGGTAGACAGACACACTGTGCCTCCTTAAAACAACCAAAATAAGGACAACGAAAATTTAGAAACAAAAAACAACCAGTACTGACAGAAAACTGAACTGTATAGAAGTCCTACAGCCAAGGAGTTAAAGTAGACACATTCATCCAGATGGGTAGGAGGGGCGGAATAGGGTGGCGGCAAAAAAAGCCATGGCTGGCAGACCCAGGTATGCAGGCAGCAGCGGGAGGACAGAGTGAGGCAGAGGATTGTGGAGGGGCACAGTGCACAAGGTGGCTGGCGGATCTAGTGGTCCCACATTCGCATGCAGATAAACCAGGTGAACAGGAGCAGGATAGGCCACACAACCCAGGGTCCCAGCGCTGAGAAATAAAGCCTTGAAACACCAACTGAAAACACCTGTGGGGGTTTAGGTGCTGGGAGAGACTCCCAGCCTCACAGAAGAGTTCGTTGGAAAGACCCGCAGGGGCCCACAAGGTACACAAATCCACCCGTACAGGAATCAGCACCAGGAGGGTCCAATATGCTTGAAGGAAGCAGCAGAAGGGACTGAACTGGGGCAGAGAGCAGGGCAAGCACCATTGTTCCCTCTCAGACCCCTGCCCCACATACAGTGTCACAACCTAGTGACTGGGTTACCCCTGCCCTGGTGAACACCTAAGCCTCCACCCCTGACTACATAACAGGCATGTCAAGACAAAAAAATGGCCCAAACAAAAGAACAGATCAAAGCTCCAGAAAAAAATACAACTAAGCAATGAAGAGGTAGACAACCTGTCATATGCACAGTTCAAAGCACTGGTGATCAGGATGCTCACAGAACTGGTTGAATTCGGTGGCAAATTAGATGAAAAAATAAAGGCTATGCTAAGTGAAATAAAGAAAAATGTACAGGGAACCAATAGTGATGGGAAGAAAACTAGGACTCAGATCAGTGGAGTGGATCAGAAGAAAGAAACACACAACCAGAAAAGAAACAAGAATTCAAAAAAAAAAATAAAAAGACACTTAGGAACCTCCAGGACATCTTTAAATGTTCCAACATCCGAATTATAGGGGTACCAGAAGGGGAAGAGGAACAGCCACTACTAGAAAACTTATTTGAACAAATAATAAAGAAGAACTTCCTCAATCTGGCAAAGGGAACAGACTTCCAGGAAACCCAGGAAACTCAGAGAGTCCCAAAGAACTTGGACCCAAGAAGGAACACACCAAGGCACATCATAATTATATTATCCAAGATTAAAATGGAGGAGAGAATCCTAGAAGCAGCAGAAATAAGGGGACAGTCACCTATAAAGGAGTTCCCATCAGACTGTCAGCTGATTTCTCAAAAGAGACCTTACAGGCAAGATTAGGGGCTGGAAAGAGGTATACCAAGTCATGAAATTCAAAGACCCACAACCAAGATTACTCTATCTAGCAAAGCTTTCATTTAGAATGGAAGGACAGATAAAGTGCTTCTCAGATAAGATCAAATTCAAGGAGTTCATCATCACCAAGCCCTTATTATATGAAATGTTAAAGGGACTTATCTAAGAAAAAGAAGATAGAAGGTACAGGAAATAAGTAGCATAGGTGGTAGGTAGAAAATAGATGGGGGGTAGAATAGTATGGGAAATACAGAATCTAAAGAACTTGAGACACATGGTCATAAACTAAAGGGGGGAATGGTGGGGCAGGGGGTGCAGGGTGGAGGGGAATGAAGGGGGAAATAGAACAACTGTAATGGCATAATCAATAAAATAAAAAAATTAAAAAAAAACTCCTACAACTCGACAATAAAGACAGCCTAATTAAAAACAGACAAAAGATTTAAACAGACACTTCAGAAAGGAAGGCCTACAAATGACCACAAAGACATAAAAAAGTGCTGAACATATTAGTCATTGAAGAAATACAAAAATGTGACCCAAATGACACTATCACACAACCACCAGAATGGCAAAAATTAAAAGGAGTAACTACATCAAAATAGAGTGATGATGTGGAACGAGAAGAATTCTCACATATTCTTGGTTAGAAGAAATGCTATATAGCCACTTTGGGAAAAGGTTTGCTACTTTTTATAAAATTAAATAAGTACCTATTCTACTACCCTGCAATTCTACTATGTATTTACCCAAGAATATGAAAATATACTATCTACAAAGACTTATGCATGAGTTTATAGCAGCTCTGTTCATAACAGTCAAAAACTTAGAACAGCCCAAGTGTTCAACAGGAGAAGGGCTTAATCTAATTGCGGTGTATTTATACAATGAAATAAAACTTGGTAATAAAAAAAAGAATTATTGATACATATAACAACATGGATGATTTTTCAAAACATCATGCTGAAAAAAATCCTTATGCCAATCAGCAGAGATATGATTCCATTTATATAAAATTCTAAAGTAGGCAACAGTAAACCTATGGTGGCAAAAAAACTGTAATAATCGTTACTTGAGGGCAGGGAGAGGTAGGGATGATGGGGAAGTGGTGATGATACTGACTGTATCTTGACAGGGAGTTGGGTTTCAGAGATATATGCATCTGTTAACATGCATCAAATAGTCCTTTTAAGATCTGAATTTCAGTTAATGATGTACATGGGGAAGTTCACTGATTATCTGCAAGTTTAAAATGCACCAAAAAATTAAGCTGGACTGTTGATTAGATAGAGGGGTAGTCAGTTGCATATATATGTGATAAATGTTAACTGTAGAATCTAGTTGGTGAGTACATGCATGTAATGTTCACTGTGTAATTTTGTTATATTTGATGTTTGAATATTTTCATTATAAGTTGTGAGGGGGGGAGGAGAAATACTCGGGAACTTATAAAAGCAGTTTTTTTCCTATACTCTGCCAGTCTTAAGCAAAAGACAGAGAAATAACAAAAAAATGTAATAGCTGTTCTTATAAAAGCACATTAGCTTGCCAGAATCCGAGATTTAAAAAAAAAAAATTCCTTCCCTATACCCTTACTTCAAGAAGTCAATACAATGAAATAACTTTCTAAAGGGATGCCAGGAAACCTAGCCTCAGATAGAGTCAACAAATTAGTGCTTTGTGGTAAACATGATGACAAGTTTCTAATCTTTATTTTATACTCTATCTAATATTAAGAAAGTTACTTCTTTACTCACCAGGTCATTAGCTTGATCTATTGTAAAAACATTGTTGTTTATTCTACTACCAACTTCAATATGTGCATCAGCTAATGATGAAATAAGCTGTTTACATTCATTCTGCATTCGTGTGAATGGGACGGCAATTTCATCATAATATAAATGTTCTGAAAGGATATCAAGTAAACGTGGCTGCACAGCTAGCGTAACAGCTTTACACTCCTAAAATATAACAGACAACAAATATTCAGAGCAAATAAACATAATTCTAGAGATGCATAAATCTTTAGTTGCAAACTACCAAGTTCTAAATTCCTACTGATGTTGAACTTATGTTCTGTTATCTCCTATAATATAGTTAGTTGCACAGAAAAAAGGTATCACAACCAAACTACTCTAAAATTTTAATATGAATGACTACAGAACATGCACATGGAACTATTAAAATTCCATTACATTTTCCAACTAATTACTGTTATTTTACTCTAAATTTATTCCAAGTTTACAGATTTAAAATTACGTAACTTTAAAATAAATCAGTCATATAAGAACACTTAGCATGCACTAAAAATGTTATTTAAAACTCAATATTAGATTTCTTAACAGTTGAACCCATAGTTTCACATGCTATACTGTAGAAATGGATATATAATTTAAAAGCTACTTACCTGCCCCCAAATTTAACTAACCCTTCCCATTCTCTCTGGTTGTTGCCTGTCCCAACCAGAGGGGGAATGGCCTCAGTGATGAGCCATGAGGGGTTCTGTGGGATCTGGGTGATCAGCCTGGGCTTCACAGAGTAAGTCCAGAGAAGCTCTGTGAGGGTCCAGAAACCGAACTGTCAACACTTGCTGCTGAGTCTGAGAGGCACAAAAACACAGCATCACTGCCTCTCCAGCACACCGAGTCCTGACTAAAAACAGAGGAGCCTTGCTTCTTTTCAGAAGCAAAGCTAGGGTCTCAGTTGCAATAGAGCACGGCTCAATTACTTTTAGACAAAACTTTGACAAACTGCTAAGAGGCAGTAATAAGCAACTCTCACAGCAAGTGCAGACAGTTAAATTTCCAGAATTCCAGCCAATGGAATAAACAAAGCCAGCAGGAAGTTTCTTTAATTTACAGAAGCAAGTCTTAACACAAAATCATGCATCTTACTAGAAGTTAAAGGTGCTGCAAGGGCATGGATTATTTGGAAACATAAAGATTTTGGCTTAAATGTTGAGATTCTTCTTTCTGTGACCAAAAATTCTGCCCTTGCTAGACTACTCATATAAGTGGATCTCTAGTATTCAAAGCCTCTTATTTTTCGTAGTTTTCAGTGATATCTGAGAGAAATATAAAGGAATGAATGACCAATAGTTTATGGACTACTTCCATGCATACATGTATTTTTAGGAAGGATATTTCTTAACAGATTGTAGGATCAAGACCAAATATTAAGTATAGGTATAACTAATAAGTCTCAGGTTTATAAGACTGGGACTCTAAGAAAAAAGTCCAGGGTTAAAGGCAAATGAGAGAAACAATGTTTCATTATAATTTGGGATACTTTTCTATAGTTGTTGGATTTTTATAGAAAGAAAATATTAGCTTTTCTGTTTATAAAATATAATGAAAACAATCCTAACAACTAATGAAAATTGGTTTACTTATTATGACTTCATTATTTTTTGGGTAAAATCTTACCTTTTGTAAAGCAGCCCATTCACAGATTACCAAAGCAACACTAATTCTCTGTAAGGCAGATTTGGAGTTCAAATGGAAGAGTAGTAACTGGCCAAGGGATTCAGCTGGTTTAATTTCTTGGGTTACGACATTTACACTTGGATCACAAATACAGCAACAAAGTGCTCCTAACAATCTAAAAAGGAGAAAAAAAAGAAGTGACTATAGAAGCTACCTGAGGTGCAGTTAGGCCTACTGAAGCTATAACTTGTCTCAAGAAGACGTAACTCCAATCTTCATAAAAATATATAAACTCTATTTAAAATTTCCAAAAATTAGAAGTTTTCTTACACATTAATTTTTTCCTACTTTGTAACTAGTGTGATGAGGAAGAATTGATAGACACATTAGAGGCATCTCTGGGTTAAGGGACTTTTGAATTTATGTATACTCACTTGGCTGCCATCATTCTGGCTCGCATGACCACAAAGTCCCTGGTGGCAGGGTCTTCCATGATGGTGTCTGCGCCTGCAATGTATTCCTGCAGTACTTCTTTACTCTGGCTTTGGCTTTGGCGTATCTTACCACCTGTTTTCTCCTAGAGGAAATAAGAAACAAACAAACAACAAAAAAAAACACCCCACCAAAACGTAGTAATAAAGATTAATCATTAAGGCTTAATAAATAGCAACATCAAAAATATTCTCATTTGTTATAACCTCAGTAAAATACAGTTCTTTTCACAATATTTTACTAGATAAAAATTACTATGCATTTTGTCAAGATCCTAATACTTATTCTTTAAGTTAAAGAAAATCACACTTATAATAAAATACAGATTTCATATATGGTTACCATATTAATAATTATGAACTGAACATACAAATATAGTGTGTCCCGCTTCACCTACCTTGGTTCTAGCCTTTACTTCCAGCAACATATTTAAATCAATAGGTAAATGTGAAGGCTGCATCATTAAGCAAAGCCATGCACCCATCCACGGACAAGCAGCTGCTACTACATACTGAACTGAAGCCTTGCTCAGCAATTCCATCCAAACCTACACAGTGAAAGGGGAACATGAAAGTGAAATTTTTCTAGTAAAGACTAATAAAGCCTAACTTATTTTTAGAGATACTGAATTGAAAAAATTAATTCAGAAATAGCATACAGATTAATTTTAAAATTCAATATAGAGGTCTTTTTTTAAATACAGGGATTTTTTTAGTAGGTCTGTATACTAAAATGTAATAAAAGAGAAAGTTAAAAAGAAAAGGAATACAAAGAATTTTCTTCAGTATTTTAAGAATGTCATTTAAAAGATACCCATAAAAATAACTGAGTTGTCAAAATCTCAGAAAGTCACTAAAATCCTTTGTGTACATCATAAAACTCAATACTAACACAGCCCTATATTCAACTCTCACTTCAGGATATAAGAGTTCCTGATAAATATCCTCTGCTAGCTTTAAAGTTTATAATATCCTAGTATAAATTAAGAACAATATAAGTCTTAATTCATGATCTTACTCAATATGTTCTCTTACTCAATGCCTGACATTAAATGGGATAGGTCTGGTATAAAAAACAGTGGTAGAAATACCACCACTATTAATCTAAGACTGTTATCAATAAGCCATCTCAGAGGCCAATAATTCAAGACTAATTTAATAAGTTTTAAAGGTACAACAGTGCCATTCCCCCCCATAATTGTTCTTAAATATATCAAATGGGTCCTCTTTAAAGATTCCAACACATATAACCAATCTTGCTAAGTAAGGCAAAGAAGTACAAGACTAAACGATGACAATCAGACTCTACATATTATCAACAAATCCCAAAAGATACCTGGCAGATCAATATGCATTCTGATAAATAGCAAGATGAGTGATAGAGAAAAGCAGTCTTTCTTTCATTTTATTTTCTGTACTGAGACTCTCAGAAAGTACTTAAAATGCTGGCACAGATGGTCATATAAGAGAAAGAAGCATAGCCCACCAGGACTTAAGCTACTATATTGCATAAAAAACTATTTCCTTGTCTCACTTTGTAGATCTCCAGACTTTTCAAATCTCTTAAGATGATTTCTAATTTCTTAAAACCCCCTGACCAACTACAGTATAGGAATTATGAAAAAAATTTAAAAGCACCGAGTTACTGGGAAAAAGTAGTACAGATAAATTCATTGTGTACCTTGTGAATGAGGTCCAGAATTTCCTGGCTACTTTCTAAAACACAAAACTGAAAAATGTGTCGCAGCATATCAGGCAGAATAGGTATAAGCCAAGATGAAGAATTCTGAAAACAAAAACAGAATTTTAGCTACAGCACATAATTCACAAGTATTAGCTTATCTGAAGAGTTATAAGACAATCCCAAACCATTACCATGGAAAGACTATAGCTTTATCAAAAAGGTTCAACTAGTGATAAATTCTGACAACATTTTAGAGGAAGGGTACCATACTTATTATTCCAGTGGTTTGGAGAAACTGAATGGCAATATAATTACTGGGAAGCTGGAGAAAGTCTGATTATGATCAACAACACTAAATTTTACTTGAAATATGTTAAAATCGTTCTTCACATGAAGGCAAGCTCTAACCAGCAACATCCCTTGGTTATATTATATATTACTGCTTTGTGGGGGAAATGTGAAAGATTATTCAAATTACTGCCGCTGTGCTGGATGACCAGAATTTAAATTCTATTGTGCATACCAGTAATCCAGGTAACAAATTATAAGTGATACCCAACCTAGGAAATTGTACTTTGAGTTCAGTACAGAACTAAAGCAAATGTTCTGAATCTATTTTGGGTCAGGGACCCTTTGAAAATCTGATGAAAACTATGCACACTCCTTTCTTAAAAAGACACACTATGTACTCATACATATTTAGGTATAACATTTGCTTCCAATTTCAGAGGGTCCAGGGATCCCCTTAAGCCCAGTTTAGCACCTCAACCTAAGGAATTTCTCAACAATTCAAAAGTCCAGGCAAATTAAGCAGTCAAATAGTGTCCAACCAAGTATCTACTGTGTGCCCAGGATTCTGAGAAAAGAATCTTGTCTATTGTCTATTCTTGTTAAAAAAATTATGAGCTCACTGAGCAAGACTAAACAATTGAAAAATTCTAGTAACTAATTCACAATACCTATCACTACACTCTACCATATTTTTTAAGCAAAAAATGCTGTCTGGAAGAGACTGAAGAGAAATTTGAAAATTTCAACCGAAATTCCAGAAAGCTATAAATTCTAGGGATAATACATAACTCAGAAAGTTGCCTATAATTCTCTAACCAAAGGAAAACTAATGAATGACAAATACAGGGCCAGGATTACATGTTCTCAAAATAGTTTGAAAGATGTTTAAAACAGACAACAGAATCATCGGCTAGGGGAGCCCACTCACTGATTTGCTATGCCTTAACTACTTTTCACTGATAGAGAAAGGGAAACTGAAACATTCCCTTTCTTTTCTCATCAGAGAGAATTAGGGACAATTGTAAAAGAATTAGGAAAGCTGTAATAGCAACAAGCAAATAATTTAATGTTACTCTTCTATAATCTTCTTATCATTTTCCATTCTATTTACCAACTTTAAAAATTTTAAATTGATTTTTAGAGAGAGAGAGAGAGAGAGATTAATTTGTTGTTCCAGTTATTTATGTACTCATTGGCTGCTTCTTTTATGTGCCCTGATGGAGGATTGAACCCATGACCTTGGCATATTAGGATGATGCCCTAACCAAGTAAGCTACCCAGCCTGGACAATAGCAACGTTTTTTAACCCAACCTCCAACCCCATTACTAGAAACTGCAAACAGTTGCTTGTACATTCCAAAGATGTATCTATAGAGGAAGAGTGTTTCTTTTATATTTATAAACAATAAATGTGATAAAAATGTAGCAGTCTTCTCAGGCTACAGGCTTAGTTACTACAGTAAATTCTACTTTATAGATAAAAAACCAACCAGGGAGAAGAAAGTATGAATAGTTAGAGAACAGGGATGGAGGAAAAGGGTTTAGAGTAGAGAAACCATTCTGTATGATGCAATAACGAAGAGATGTCATTATATACTTGTCAAAACACATAAAATGAATGTACAACAACTAGAGTGCACCTTACTGTAAACTATGGACTTTGATAATGATGTGTCAATGTTGGCTCACTGACTGTAATAAATATAGCACTCTGGTGTGGGATGTTAATGATGGGAGAACCCTTGTTTGGAGTGGGAGAGGAGGTATATGCTGTGAACCTAAAACTGCTCTACAAAGTAAACTCAATAAATAAAGAGGAAAATAAAATAAAATGATAAAACAAAAATGAAAACTCAACCAAATTTTTTTAAAAACCCACTCCAGAATATACAGATCATCATCATCATCACAAGAATTAGTATTTGAAAAAAATATAGATTCTCCAGTGGCACAACATAAAGCCTGCTTAGTCGAAATTACAAAATAAGGCTGAGAAAGCACCTGTAGACCAAATTCAGTCCACCTGACAATTGTACAAGTACCACCTTTTAGATATGGTTGCAAAAAGTAACATATCTTTAGCTCACTATTAGTACTATCTTAAAAGATCAGAAGGTGTAGTTTGGCCCATCCAAGGTCAATTCATCTATCTCTTACTAAACTGAAAGTTGGCCCACCTATTTTCATTTACTTTGCACCCGTCTTCTAGTAGACATTGAGTTAGACAGGTAACTTAGTCCCGTTACTTTGCATTTATAGATTTATTTAACTGGATTACTGAGGGAGCAGGGCACAGTGGGGACTGTAGTATTTTCAGTCCTTTAGAGATTATCCACTTTGGGATTCCCCTCCATCCCAAATTTTTTAGATAGTCAATAAACTTCTAGATGCCACTGCTAATTAGGACTGTACTATTCTCCACTCATCTTAGGCAAAATCTGGAAAGTTTTGATGAATATTTAGCATTAGTCTAGCACAGTGTAAACTAAAATACATAAAAATTCCTACCACAAACTCTTTACTTCAGGTTTAAGTTAACTACAATCTGGACCACTATAACTCAAGTTATAAATAAGTTCATGTTTTAAGAGGCTAAAAAAACTTTTTTCATGATTTTACTCATATGTGAAATCTAATGAACAAATTGAACAAGGAAAAGAGACAAATTCACAGCTAGAGAACAAGATGAGAGCTAAGTGGTGGGGGAGGTTAGGGGTGGAGGAATTAAGCAAAAAGAGAAAAGGACTCATAGACACGGACTATAGTGTGGTGATTGTTGGGGGTACAGGGGCATAAGAGGACTAAATGGCAACAGGTAAAAAATACAATAAAAAAATCTCTGAATGAATAAAAAATTGTGTTAAACAATTAACATAATATTAGCACTTTATACTAGTACTAGATGTAGTACCCATTGTGGGAATTATGCAGGGAAAATGATTGGCAGTTATTTAGTGTAACACATATGGGTTACACTATATAATTCCAGGATGTTTTATTCAGGTTAATGTTTCCTCCTGTGTTCAACCATCCCACATTCTACCCTCCAGCCTAATCAATTTCACCTCCTCCTTGGTGCCATCATGCTCTCTCCTGCTTCCAGAGTTTCACAAACTACACATCCTCTGACTCTTATCCCACTCTTCACCTGGTTAAATTCCACTCATCCTTAAGGTCTCAACTTAAACTTCACATTTAGCAGGATACCTTCCTTGATCTTCACTCCCCTCACAAGCGAGGATCCAATAGCACCATCTACTTCTCCTATAAGATACCTACCTCATTATATTATTAGAGCTTCTGCTGTTTTAAACTCTGTAGAAGGGGAGAAACCTTGTCTCTTACTGATTACTAGCTAGAAAATTGTGGCCATGTAGGCACTAAAATATTTGAGTATATCTACTTTTTGTATGAGAAATGGTCCAAAGTCACGGAGAGTAATTGGCAAGATGCAAACATTTCCCAGAATTTTAGTTGGCAATAAATCCCTAACTGATAAAACTGGCCTGGGTGGGATAAGATCTCACCGGGACTCTTTTGCTATGTCCCCCCCTTTTACCTCCACTCAAAAATGGGTAGGTGTGGATCAGACATCTGATCATCATTACCATGAACATCTGATTCCTACATGTAGGCAGCTTAATCATCATTTTTATCTCCACAGCTAATGAGTTTGGGTTGCAGAAAAGAAGAACAGGAAAGAAGCAATAAAAATGTGAAGCATCACACCGAGTTCTTTCACTAACTTGGTATGAAATCCTACTTCGGCTCACTGCCAAAAACAATCCCCCGCTCCCAATAAACCCAATTCTATATTTAGACAATTTATAAGGCCTTATTCTACTCATATACCCAACCAATACTTATTGAAAGCAGCTGAATATTTACCCTTTGTTATCCCTGTCCCTATCTTTATAAAAACTGGCTAAACCTAATTATGTTAATGTTCTCTAAAGCCAAAGTCTTAGTCAAGTCTATTTTTTGGGTCTTTCTTTCCTTCTCTACATATAAATGTTAAATTTTCTTATATCCTGGATTAAGTATGTCTCAGATTCCAACTCAATTTCATGTATATTTTCATACTAAATATAAACTTCATGCCAGAACTTGCCTGTCAAATATGATTCACAAAGTAACACTAATGCAAATGGAATGGAAAAGTTGACCCAGTCAGCAGAGCATGGCTAAATGAGAGATTCATGCCCAGAAGTGTACCTTTCTAGATCTTGAGTCAAGTTCTGACTATAATAGTTAGTGATTATCAACACTAGTTAATCTATATAGTCTAATAAAGTAGTTTACTGATGGGCATATACATTCACAGATCCCCTCTTGCATGTATAAACATAGTCACAGGTTAAAAACAGAATACAGGAAAGAAGAAAAACAAGTGGTAAATTCCTTCACTTTGATTGCCAAGCTGCTAGTTTAGCAAAAAAATTTTTTTAATTTAAAAAGTTGCACCTTGATTTTTAAGTCATTACCAAATGAAACTAGTTTGGTTTGCTAAAGAGTAATTTCATGCTTCCCAAGAAGCCAGGCTTGCAAATATTTTTATAGGTTAACATCACAGACAAAGGCACAAGGATTAAAGAATTTATTTTTACAGATTCCATATGTCCAATAGACAAAAAAATTCATAAATAACTGTATTAACTGTGGTTCTGTTTATGGACATTTTAGGGATGTGCATGCCTGCATATGTACTTATGATCAAAAACATTTTAAGATTAAGTACATCTTTCTCATAAACTTCTGGCTTTATAAAACAAAACAATCCCTGACTGGTGTGGTTCAGTGCATTGAGCACC